CAATTAATGTTCAATTAATGTTCAATTTATCGTAAAATTGATCCCTTTCGAATGCTCTACATTTACGGTATCTTCCGTGTTTATAAACAGATCTTTCTTACGATTGTCCCCATATTTTTGTTTATAATATTCTCTAGCTATTGAAAAAAGTTTTAACTAGCTGTACTACACAATTTAAGACATAATAAATAACGAAATGCGTCCTTCTAGCACGCGCGGCGCAGGCCAAACGGGGGTTACGGGTCCCCCCGAACTCGACTTTTCGAGTTCTCGAAAAACGAATCCGTAGTAGATTGATCAATTCCGAATGCGAATTTTTTGTAAAATTTTATAGTGCATAGTTTCTGCGACATTGAACTCTAAAAAACGGAATTTTCGTGAAATCATTTCCTATTTGATTCAAACAATTAATTAACAAATAATTTCTCATTTGATTCAAAACTTTATTGTTGACTTCATATTCCTCAACAACATATGAGGATAGAACAACTCAATAACTGATGAGAATGCAATAAATTAAGTCATTTGGAATTTTTTCCTTAATGAAAAATCCTTTAACTTAGGGATATCCAAGTACTTTGACTATTTTTTCTCCAGTGCAATGCTTCTTTTGCAGTCGCCCATCAGAGCTTTCATTTGAGCCTCATTTAACCCTAAGTTTGCGGACATTTTAAAATGACATTATTATTTACACTTTGCAGGTCTCAATTTGAATCTCGATATTGAACCGTTAGAAAACATTTTAAAAACCTGAAAAAAAATTAGAAAGTTTACTTTTGGAGGAGGATTGATCAAATAATTAAAGAATTGCCACTTCTGAAAATTACCAATATTTTCTATAAATAATTTATAAACAATCATTTTGTCACCGTAAAAATCATTTATTCGGAATCGTAACAAATTTATTCATATTCAGAATTTCACCAGAAATCGATTTCATGCCTAATTCCAATTTCAATTATTTATCATTTCAAGCATTATTATTTATTTATGAGCAACTAGTGTTAAAAACAATGATAATTCTGTGCGAAATGTAATTTGAATACCGCTGAATATTCATGATTCGATTTAATTGAATCAAATTTGGCGGTTGAAAATGGCTAAGTCTACAGTGTGGTCTGTACCAAGCTGTAAAATCTACTCGGATATCCTTAAGCGATGCAATGATGAGTGAGTAGACCTCTTGCTCTTACTTCGAAACCATTCATCTTCTAAAGCCAAGTAAAAAAATTCTTATCCCAGTGACAATGCATACAGAAACCATAAGTTCTGAAAACTAGAAACTTTTTTCTCCGTAATTTTGTGTCCTTCAATCTGTACGTCACAGCATTAAACCGTCGATAAAATCTATTGATCAATATTTTTATGAATTGCTGCGGGTTTTCCATTGATATTTACGATTGCGCAATGCGAAGTTGAGTAATTTTTTTCAAATGGGAGCGATACACTTCTTCGTTTGACGAAAAAGATTTTCGATGTTCTTTAGTTGCAAGTCATTTAGGGGCGTGTATAGACGTAAAACACTGGGTCTGTTTACTAACGCAATCCACATGTCTCGACTATTAATGTTATGAAATATCTCGACGCGGACAGGAAAGTCCCGATTTCGCCGTGCAACCCTTCCCCCCTTCGTCGACCGGAAATTATAAGATCGATGAATTACGACAACTCGTGAGTTGTAGGGAGGTATCAACTGCAAGTGTTATACAGCCATTCCAAAATCACTCATGTCCATTCACTGGTTCTCACGGACTTTTGCGATTCACTGGGGTATATGTTGATGGGTTAGTGGTTATGGATTCTCTATGTCTTCCCACATGGGAGAGGACGCCGCGGTTAAGTAATTATCGTGATTCATAACTCATGAGTTATTGATGCTCGGTGAATATGGAGTCGATTTGCTCATTCGAGAGATTTTCTTTTCGATGAATTAGTTGCAGAAAAATTTTGTCGGGATTATGAATTTCGAGATATTAAAATGGTTCATTGATAATTGGTGGCAATTATCTATTGATTCTGCTAAGAACTTTTCACCGTTTTTAATCGAAAAATTATTAATTCATTTGACTTTATTTTCAAATTGAAACATTTTATCTAGAAGACAGCTTTTTTCAATGGAGTGATTAAAAATTATAAATTGAGCTACTGGACCATATTTTTAGTAATTAATAATCAATTATAGTTTGCCAAAAAATTTTATATCGAATTAAGTTAATCAACCTTTATTAGTTTGTAATTGATTATCCTTTGCAATTCAAACATCAAGTTAAATTCATGATGTAGTGCTTAAAATTGATTTTTAAAAACGAATTATTCTACTTTCATATTTTGCCCATGATTCTCGTGCAGCAAATAATTCTTCTTGAATTCCAATGTAGTACAGTTGATCAAAATGATTAAAATTGAGTGATTGGGATATTTCATAGGATCAATAGCTGATAATTCACCAATATTTCCAAAAAAACTACTATAAATCAGTAATTTTCAATTAATAAAAAGCAATTTTTTAATTATTTCATCAATCATCCTCCAAAAGTAAACTTTTCAATTTTTTGTTCGCATTCTTAAAATGTTTTCAAACGGTTCAACTTGTAATCTTTAAATAATAAAATCATTGTAAAGTGTCCAGAAACTTGGGGTCAAATCGGACTCCAATGAAAGCTCTCATATTAGGCCACAAAAGCAGAAACGCATTTCACTGGAGAAAAAATAGCCAAAATACTTGGATAGCCTTAAGGATGTCCAAGTACTTTAGGCATTTTTTCTCCAGTGCTTTTCTACTTTTGTAGTTGACCATTAGAGCTTTCATTTGAGCCCCATTTGACCCTAAGTTTCCGGACATTTTACAACAATTTTATTATTTAAACTTTGCAGGTCTGAAATTGAATCTCGATACTGAACAGTTAAAAAAAATTCTAAATCTAAAAAAAATTAGAAAATTTACTTTTGGAGAAAGATTGATGAAATAATAAAAAAAATGGGCATTTTCCATGCCTTAAACATCAGGTTTTTGAAAAGTTAGACAATTTCAATTATTTATTTATAAATAACGAATGTTTAAAGAGATTAATGATTATGTGAAAAATGTTATTCGAATGTCTCTGAATATTCACAATATAGTTTTTCAAATTTTTCTCACGCCACTTTATTGACAAATTCGATGATTGAAAATGGGTGAATCTACAGTCTGGTCTGTACCAAACTGTAAAAGATACTTGGATATCCTTAAATGCGTCCGGTTCTGCAAGTCCCTATCTACCTATAAAATGACGTAATCGAATGCACTAGACATTTTCATACAAGTGAAATGAGTGCTACAAAGTTGAGCACCTGAGTCGTGAGATCATTCCAGATACCATTTATTCTTGGCGTGTAAAATTACTCTCACCAAGCGATAAAAAGGCGCAAATCCGGTGGATTGAAAAAAAGTCACTTTCAATGGCTGCGGGGAATGATTGAGGCGTTGAAAAGTTGAAGAGGTTCGATTGCATTTGCTACAGGTATCACAGGCTGTAGTGGCACCTGACAGTAGTGGCTCCATAATAAACAACCGTTGGAGGTCTTCTGGCAAAAGGTCAAGTGTACGCCGGGTCATGACGGCAGGGAATGAACGCCCGGGGGCTCCATGCGGTATTCCACGTTACACATGACTCCATACACCATTACTCTTTACGATCATCAGTTAATCGAGCCATATAATCTTCCATCATCTTTTTCATTCAAGTGTGCAAATACTCGTGAAAATGCCAAAGAGACCGGTCAATTTTATACACTGACTGGGGGGCTCCATTTGATAACGTATTTCGTCATAAGAATAATTTTAGTTTTGGGGAAACCAAATAATTTCTGGAGACAGCAAACTTTTGGTTAGAAAAAAAACAAGTATTCTCATTATTGCAACAAATAAAAGGAACTTACATTCTAGGGAAGTTCTATTTCTCCCAATCAAATGTATCTCAAGAAGAGATTAGTATATTTCTAACCTAGGGAGGGAAAATAAAGGATCCTCAGCCGCCAGTGCAATTACCAGCCGAACCGAAGGCGAGGTTGGTAAGCACGCGGCTGAGGGTCCTTTATTTTACTTCCCGTGGTTAGAACGCGATTTTCCGTCTCGGCGTAGGCGCAAAGTCAGAGTTCCGTCCCGCGAAGCGGGAGGGAAATGTACCTTTGCGCCCGCCGGGACGGAAAAGTCATATTCACTATAAAATCATATTTTTTTAAATAACAACCAAGTGATAGTTGATTGAAATAAAAATTTCTTGGTAAAACTATTTTGTCTGTCGGAATAATCTCGGAAATTTCATAATTACAGGAAAATGGCAGAAGACCCTTTTTGGTGAGGAATCACATTTTCTCGGTGGAATAAATTCCACTTGAAGAAGTGAAGAATTTACGCGAAATTCATCACAAATCCTTTGTCATAGGGAATTAAATTCCCCGCAAATCCAGCCCCTCAAAATTTCCCTCCAAATCCCCTAGTTCCCGAGAAAATGACGCTTTAAATTTCAAGTAAAAAATCGTTAAATTTTCAACAACGAATAATTTACATGGAATTTCCATTGATCTTGTTTTTCATAAATCAATCAATTCGCTGGAATATTCAATGAAATTTGATTTCTCAGGTTCATACGACAATGAAAATTACTGAAGATCGTAAAAGTTCCGGCAATTTTTCCTCTGAATGTTCAATCTGTTACTCAATTTTCACGATAGATTTGAAAATTCAAATTGTCCTTAAAAATTCAATGATCACTCCTCATGAAAACCTTAATGTTATTGAATTTCCAAGATGAACCAGGAATTCCATGAGCAATTTAGTTTGAAATTGAGTTCAAGTTCAGAATATTGAGAATTCAATTACGTCTGTTTTCCAAATTTCAAAAAAATTCTAACAGTGCACACAAAATTCTCGCAATCGTTTCCTCCGACCAGTTCCCCCACAATTTTCAATCAACCTTTAGAAAGCCCACCAACTGAACCACCCTCCCTTTCATTTACAGAAGATTGATGGAGAAAGGATCCTCGCGACCGTGGCAGGATATACTCCAGGAGTCTACCGGTGAGGTCCGACTGGACGGAAATGCGGTGCGCGAGTATTTCAGGCCCCTCGAGGAATGGCTGAGAACGGAAAACCTGAGATCCGGTGAAATAGTCGGCTGGTCATACGGTAAGTATTACAAAAAAAATCCCAGTAGCCCACCTAGCATCCACTGTTCCGGTGACTAATCAATTTCCGTCGAAATCCCTTTACTTGCGGGCTGCTCCATAGCCCGAGGGATTTCCCGGAAACGCATGGAAAAATGAGCAGGGGTTCGAGTCTAGGCGATAGGAGACATGTGACCGTTACCTTTCGCGCACGGAGAGAAATATTCAATAAAAATTACGCACCTTTTCCGTAATTCCGGAGCGAAATGTGGTGCGAGGAAATTTTACGGAACTGTCACGGAATTTTTCCAGAGCGTTCTGTAATTTTTACGTGAATCTTCTGTGAAAAATTACGATACCGTCACTTAAATTTTCTGTCATTTGCTGAACATTTCTCTCTGTGCGCCATTAGCACAGATCAGCATCAATCATTAATTTAGTAACATTAGGAGACATTGCACCTTACAATAATTAAGATTTACTCATCTTCACTGAAATTTGAAAAATAATATAATAATTGGTAATTTCATTTTTTTCAATTGACTATTAACTATCAACTAAATAATTGACGATGTGGAATTGTCATCTCACTATTGAGTAAATATTTCTAAATGTAATAAAAGTATTTTTATGTTAGCCAAATAATCAGTTTGGAATACCAAAATCCATTCGTTAACCATAACTAATCCGTTCTATCAGTGTACTTCTGAGTGATAAGAGACAATTACGACCTACAAAATCAGATCCTCGACGAAAAATCGCGCGGAAAATACAGTTTAAAAATTTTTTTTCTCAAAAAACGAAAAAGTTCTTTTCCCAGGGTGAGCCTTCCCTTAAAAATTCCCAAGGAGGCAGTTTAATCCAAACATATTAGCAATCAATCGCCATAGCTGTCACCTAAGGCCTAGCTTCTTATCCGCGAAAACTGCCTCTATTCCATTTGATTCTGGAGACTGTTCTCCGTGGGACTGGGATGCGATTACGAAATTGGTGGAACGAGAGCGAAAGGGGGCCGGAGGTAGCACACCAGCCCAGTATTTTCAAATGAACCAAACGGCTCTCGGAGGAGGAGGAGGAGGAGGAGGAATTAGCGAAAAAAAAGTGCATGAAAAAAGTTGGGAGAAGGCCTGGAGGAGATCCGGAGAAATAGAGGCAGAGAACAGCCTAGAACAGATCAGAAGTCTGAGAATCGTGACACACGTTCGACGTCTGTTCGCTCTCATTTCCATGCCTCGTTGCTCTTTGTTTTGGTCTCACGACACACTTAACTTGCTCTGACTTACACCCACCCCCTTTTGTTGCAGGACACCCACACCGAGATTACGCCGATCCTTTTATTTTCATTATTGATTTTAATTTTTTTTTCGGTATTACGTTGGCTGTTGCTACAATGAGAGCAGGCATGAGTAATCGAGGACTAATTTTCCGTATACACGGTCGTGGGTAATGAGGCAAATGAGTTGGGTGTAGTTTAGCGGTTGAATATTCGTTTTTATCGGTGGGAATTTATCGATGAGGCTCGGGTGGCGAATTTCGGGGGAAGAGATAAAACGCATGGGCGAAGTTTAGTGGAAGACCTGGCGAATTCGATAGAAATTTCGCCAAGAATCGGCCTGGAATTGGATTTTGTATTGAACTACACGGAGAGAATTTTTTGATAAAAACTATCCTACCGTTCTATAAAAGTGTATCATGAGTCATCGTTTCTTCATTTCTATTTCTATTTCAGTTTCTCGTTCGAAATTTACGACGTAATCGTCGAATTCATGAAAAAAAAAGTTATTCAGAGAAAAATTGAAAGTAAAAAATTGATCTCGATAAATTTTTCTCATTTTCTTCTCTCACTTTTTCCAAATATCTCTGAAATCAATAGATTTGTAGGAAAATGTTTGAAGACCTCCTCCAGAAAGCTCGAAATTTTCCATAAAGGGGCTCTCCATAAATTGCCCCAAACCACAGCCTTCCAAAAATACCCACAGCCATAAGTAATCGAAGACTAATTCTCCACGTACATAGCGTTGAATAAGGCAAATAACCCGAGTATAATTTATCGTTCGAGTGTTGCATCACGTAAGTACAGCTACTAATTGAAGGTATTGATTTTACAGACGGTGACTACTGCAAGCGAAGCATTGAGACGGCCGGACTCCAGGTGTATGGAAGTGGTTTCTACTACAATTCAGCCAACTCCTGGGGCACATCGGGCCTCACTGCCATTTTCCCCCTCGTCTCGATTGTATTTCTATTCTGAAACTCGCGTGTCGTGTTTTGAAAGAAACGAGAAAAATTAGGCACTCATTCTTTTCGATGGTTTCTATTCACCCTGTCCTCGATAGCTGTCATTAATTCATGGTCGAGTGATACTACCCATACGAAATAAAATTCCATTTAAGGAATTGAACGATTAATGGGACGTGGGCACGTGCCGCTGTCCCGCTGATCCTGTGTCGTGTTAATGCCTTTGATATCTCCAGTTTCTTTTTTCGAAAAACATCTTTTTCAAACTTTCCCGAAACCTCATATCCGCGAGTGTCTCGACAAAGCAAAGTATGTAGCGATACGCAACGTTTCACATAAAAAACTGGCTCGTCCAGGAGGAGTTACGCAATTGAGGAAGACCGGTAACGTCCTCACTGGGACTCTCGGTTCACTTTTATTTTTTTTTTACGGAACACTTTCCGCGAAACCTCACGACGCGAAACAATGAAGAGGCTATATCCCCCGAGAGTCCGTCTCTCTTTGGATTTTTTACATTTTTTTCAGCTTTCTCCGTTTAATGTTCTCCATTTAAGTCGTGAAAATTTAACGGGGAAATGTGTTAATGGGAGAAAGGTGGTCGAAGCTTTTTGGAAAATTGGCGAGGGGCGAAGTGGCGAGGGGGATGAGTCAGGAAATTGGATGTGGATTGTTTTCGCGTGTCTTTGGGCGAAGAGGGTTTAGAGGAGAATGTTGGGGAGATTTTTCGCAGGAGCTGGAAGCCTTTGGAAAAGGGGATTTGAGTGAATCTGTCTGGAGGTGTTCATGTGGTAGATATTTGGAATGTGAAATTGATTTTCAGGCAATTTTTTTGAGAGTTGAAAAATTGCCCGCGTACTCGTTGACAGATAAATGACGGGGAAGTATTGTGTGGAGCTTGAACAACCTTACGAGTTACACTTTTTAATTAATTTAATTGAACTTTTATATTTTGAAAATATTAGCAAAATAAATTGGAGAAAGTGAATTCTATTTTTAAAAATAAAGATCCCGTTTGCAGATCATATAATTCCCGACGAAGAGTGTCTTCCCATCAATTTATCTTCACTTCGAAAGCATTTGCAAAATAAATTGGAAATAATCAGTTGAATTTTCACTCAAATTGAAAAATTTCAGTCGAATTATTTTTCAAAGGTCTTAAAAACGAATGAGTTTAAGGAAAAAATAAAGACCTCTTTTGTAGCTTCCAATCAATTTGTCTTCACGTCAAAAAGATTTTGAAAATACATAGCTTCAGATAAATAAAATGATCTCTATGAGAAAGGAGTCTTGCTTTTATTTCTCTAAACCTATTCATTTCCAAGATATAATGGACCTATTTCTCTTCATCACGTCATCACCTATTTGATGGTGCACTCACCACAGCTATAATCACTCCCACATTAGGAACATAAAAAAACTCCCGTTTCGTGAGTTTAATTAATTTTCAAGAACATTTGAACGTTCAACACCCAGTGGTATTCCTTTAACATATCAATTTTTTACGAAATTTATATTTTCTAATTCACAAGAAGTAGTAATTCAATTACTTTTATTACCCTGAAATTATCCCACGTAGACCGTTGATAATTAATGTGTAAATTGAAATGTTCAGCGGCGTATCAGACCCAGCTCCTCTCTAAATTGCAGTTTTAAAAGTTTCATAACGTTTTACACGAAATCATTATGTCACTAGAGTACTACCAACTGTCTCTTACGATCACACACAAATGGATCTGTAACATGTAATTTTGCGGATGAGAGGAGAGGCATTGTAATCGTATATTAAAGAAATTTGAATTGTATTGAATTGTACATAGGAAAGAAATGTCAGTAGTGGACGAATACACAGGGAAACTTTTTCAAATATTTATGCAATGGATAAACCATCGGAATTTGAAGGAACAATATTATCATTTCAAAGTATTAAATTACTTGATGTTCTCAATAGTCTTTCACTGAATATAAAACAGCAAAAAATCCAATAATATACGAGGAATGTATATAATTGAGGGTTACTATTCCCTGTGTATTTTTTGTAACACATAAGATTAATATTAAGACTGTTTACTCACTCAATCTCTCCATCTAGTTAATGGAAACAACAGAAATATTGACCTTGTCATTCCTTTCTATTGTCCATACTCACGTATTCCCGAGCAAAACGGATTCTCATGGTGTTTTTTATTGTAATTATTGTACGTTAATAAATTATGTAACAAAAAAACTACCTGCGTTGTCAGAGCTTTTGTTTTTAGTCGTCAATCATTTTTTATTTGAAATAAAACGAAAAAAAATTGTAACGGGACACGGACATGTGGCATGATTCGTTACATATTTTTCCCATTTTATGTAGTTTTTATTATTGAAATGGGAGAGCTGGGATTTAGAGGCACTTGCGCGCCTCCATCATGGGGGTTTCAGTTGTTCATTTTTTCATCTCGCTTCGCTTTTGAACGGATAATATATTTCTTTGCTGATCGATATTTCAGCAAATCTTGGAAGACGAATCGTTTCCAGGCGAACGGCTCAGTGCGTTTCCACCGGTGGAAATCGCATAATTTTTCAATTTTAATTTGCATTTAGTTGAAAATTTAAGTGGAAAATATATAGATTTTCGGGAGATTGACAAACGCGGGTTAATAAAGAAATAATAGAAAACAGGGGAATGGGAGTAGATTATCTGAGGTACGGACAATCCTCGAGGGCAATGGGTGTTCACTGGATTATTTCATGATGAGGGAAAAACTTTTTGCTGAAATATTCGAGATGCTTTTTCTTGCTGGGAATTTATCTGGGTCGCGAATCAGTAAGCAGAGATCAAGCAATAGATGATTAGATTGAATGAATTACGTCTCAATATCGGATGAAAAGCTTTGGGAATAAATCTTCGCGTGAAAAGCTCGGGGCGAGGAGATATATCAGCTTGTATAGTGGGAAATGTTCGCACACTGTTGAGCTTTTTAGATGGAATTTCCTGTACACTTCTTGAAAACTCGTACCACAGTTTTCTTTCTTTATCTCTTAATTGATAATTTAGATTTTCAATTGACTATGAATTAAATAATTGACGGAAATCTCGTCTTACTATTGAGTAAATAATTCGGAATTTGAGTATGTCATTAATGATTAATTTAATAATTGGAAAATTGTTGAGTTAAAAATTGTTACCAATTACAATTGGCTTATTCAAAATTTAACTTCATTTAAAATTTATAATTATGCCGATGTCTGACGCAAACTGATACTTCCTCCTGCGATGAGAATTAACCCCAAATATCAATTACAATAGAGACACAATTCATTTCAATCTTCCCCGACCTGTCCCAAATGATTCTCGAACCGAATAAATCCGCAACAAAAAAGTTTCTCCGTATATCTCTCCCGGAAGTCAAATCAGCCCGGATCGGCATTGGAATAAACAAGTGGGGAAAAAAGAACAAAGGTCGAGTGATGTACGGTCAGTGCGCATCGATTGAAATTCCGGTCTGGATCAAACGAGTAGTAGACGACAGAGAGTAAAGAGGAAGAAAAAAATGGAGGAGGGGAAAGTGGATAAGAGGAATCGTTAAAACTGTTAGCCTTCGACACTGGAATGGGGGGCCTCCCCCAAGAGGAACCAGTGAATCGTGGGAGATCAGTCTCACAGCTGGCCGACGCTCTTAATTATCCCAGCATCACTGAACACGTCATGTGGACCCGAGAAAAGAAAACAAAAGTGTTTAACTATTTTTTTTCATCAATTGAGGAAATGAGGCTATTTTGCATTCAGTGAGAAATTGTTTGAATCTTTCGGTCAGAAAAAGAGTTGCGAAAATATATGTATATTTATTTATTGTTCATTAACAATTCCAAGATTTCTCACAATATTTTTTTCTCGTTATTTTCACAGCGATGTGATGTATGAAGAAAATGAAATTCTATCCGAGTTCTATTAAAGTTGAATTGAAAATGATGCAATAAATATTTATTAGTTTTCAATCGATACTTGGTGGGAAAAAAATCAGTCGATGTTGATTTCTCTAGACATTGTTAGGAAAAAAATGAATTTTCATGAACAATTTATATTTAAATTATCATTTTACTATTTCCATTTTCAGAAGAGCGAGATGGAAGTTGAATTGGAAGGAGAACAATCATGAAATTTAAAATTTTAGTGAAAATTCTATGAAATTCCCAAATTTTTAGCTGACGATAGGGGAGACTTCTCCATTTTACTTGATTGTTAAATCAAAACATGAACATTCAGGACCAAATTACTCTAATTTTTCGTAAATTCTATCCATTTCCGTGAAATAATGAAATAATGAACCATCTCCATATTCGTAAATCCAAATGAAGGAATCACGGTATTTTGAGAAATAACAACAACGTTGATTAAATTGTCAAACGAAGCGACGTTTCGCTGAATTATTTTGGCTTCCTCAAGCTCTGGAAGAGACCAAAAAAACAGAATATGTAGACAAATGTCATCTGAATGTAAATAGTGAAATCCCATAGAAAATTGAAACCACAACAATGAAACAACCTCCATATGTCGAACGCGGATTACGTCAAGGTACATTTCGATTTAGGTTTATGTTATCAGTGCGACGTGATCCCCATCGGACACATAGGGGTGATGTTTTTTTTTTTCACACGGAAAAATATATATTCTGAAAATTGAATATTTTAAACATGGAATTGGCCTGATCTATATATAAAAGTTGAATAAAATATAAATTTATATACGCTTCACATATATTTTATATAAATCCTATATATATTCGAAGAATATATTAAATTGGCCTGTATTTATACATCTTTTATACATTTTCCCATGAGGGTATATATTCTGTTTATTCTTGTCTCCTCCAGAGCCTGAGGAAGCTAAAATTATTTAGCGAAACGTCGCTTTTTTCGATAATTTAATCAACGTTGTTGTTATTTCTCCAAAGACCCTGATCCCTTCAATAGTTTCCACTGTTTTTGTTATCAACTTGCCAATTTATAATTACAAATTTTCTTGAAATTCCGGTGGAACTATACCATCATAAAAATTTCCAAAAAGTGCACATTTCAGCCAAAAATGCTACTGGTTTTTGGCTGATTCGGTTAGAATTTTATCTATAAGAATTTTTACCATGAATGTTCCACGTTTTCTCTCTCCGATTTTATGATAAAAACTAAAAAACGAATTAAAAAAAAACTAGGAAAAGTTGTTTAATTTTTTACTAATACTTGAAGGATTAAGTATTAGTGAAAAATTATACAACTAGAAACAAATCGAATTTCACAGAGAAAGCGCTATGGTTTCCTGTCCATCTACTTCCCGCGTGTCATAATTTGAAATAGAAATGGTTATCAACTACACCTCTCCAAATTGAATCCCACAAAAAAACAAATTAATAAGACCAATCTCCTCCAACACCTTGCAAAAAAAAGATGAATGTACAGATAGGGCAGTCCATCCACCCATTACATAAAGTGAAAGTCGCTCCACATCTCTCAAAAAATCTTGAAAAAACCGAAAAAATGTGAATTATGCAACGAATCCCCTATTTTTGAGACAGGCGTGATGAATTACAAAGACTGTTTATTCCCATAAAATCACGATTTTACGTCACCACCCGGGGAAAGCATCTCGCGTTAATGGGTGAAGGTTGCGAGATAATGGACGAAAGCGAGAGTATGTATGACGCATGATAGATTTCGATTTCAATCTCCGAAGGAAATCAATATCGGCCCCATGGGAATGAGAAAAAAGGATCGATACCGGCGAGGCAAATTACACTAGTTAATAATGATAAAACCAGGATAATCGGTAAGTATGTGCATAGCGAGCGGTTGAAATTATTACCCATTATATTTTGCCTATGGAACAACAGATACCGTGATTCAGCGTCACGCGACTCGGCATTAAACCAGGCGGTAATGGCGTCAAAAAGCATTACGAAATTGTGATACATATTCCACGTAAAAACTTGACATTCGCGTCAGCTTTTTCCCAGCTAGAGAAGTGGCTGAAACAGATATCATCTGTGTGATATCGTCAGTGTAGGAGTTGAAGAGCGTAGAAGAAGTGTCCTTGAGACTCTTGAGATAGCTAAATGAAATTTAATTCATAAAATTAATGAGGGCTTGATGTTTATGGGATTAGTTCCCAAATGTCAACACCTAGAGTTATTTTAAATATTAAGTATCACTATAGGTTATTTCTTATTTCTGTACGCAGATAGAAGACAAAATTATTTTTTACTGGGGGAATATAGTAATTGTTAATATGAGAAATGGAATGCAGGAATGTACCACAATCGAAAATTTAGTATTAGACATAGTAGTTTTAAGAATAAATGGAAAATTCCGGGGTGCTGCACGTATAAAAAAATCGTATAGAATTTCTATGGGATTTTCGTACATGATATTCGGATATTTCTATACGGATATTTTTTATACAAATTATTTCTATACGATTTCCATAGGCTTGATCCTATACGACCCACTGCCACATGTATAGAAACATTTCGTATGGAGTTGCGACATTTCTCTACGTTTTTCTCTGGAGCGTTTAGACATCTTTCGTATGAAAACAAAAATTTATGTAAAAATTTATGTGTAGAAATAATTCGTATAGAAAATTTCTATACGATTTTTTCATACGTGTGATCGAAAAAATACGGCTGACAAAATACCAATATGATGGAGTCAATTGGAAAAATTACTGTCGAACATATTAAAAATTGAGAGTCGGAATAGTAGAAAATGGTAGCATAAAAGTGAAAACCGGAAATTTGGCTAGAGGAAAATTTTTTGTTTGACTTTCTTGATGAAAAGAAAAGAACAATAGAATTTAAAACGCTTGGAAAATTTGAGCCCAAGAAATTCTATAGAAAATATCTCAATGGAATAAATTGTACAGAAAAATCGAATATTGAACATTTCAACAGAATGGGCCAAAAACTAATAGATAAGTTCAATAGAAATCCAACAGAATTGTCTTGCGAATTCGCTGTTTTACTATCAATTTGTTCGTGCGTGTTTGCGTTGAAGTTATTGTTTACACCAAATTTTTAGTGTAGATGTAATGAAATGAGCAAAAACCCAGCAAAGAGTATGTCGACAATTTGTCGACAAATCGCCGATGTCCTGTTAAATTTTAAATGGCACTGGCAAAAATTGTTTTCTGGGAAGATAAGGCCCGATGTGTGCATGACACTCCAGTAGTAGGAAATGGACGACAGGCAAATTACGTATCGGTATTAGATTATTAATATTTCCGAATGAGTATCCACGTTGAATAACCACCGCAGAAGGAAGTATCGGCTTATAGGAAGTGGTTGTAATTTCAATCCTAAAAAATAAAAATAATTATTTTGGTAAAAAGCACGGTGCCGAGGGAATTTTTTCTCTGGTTTTTCGTGGAAATGAGGAAGATAACTTTCCGGAAAAATACTCAGGACTCAATAAAAAATAAGTGAACATAGAACCAACGTCCTTGGCACCCCGCGTTTTAATAATATAGCGGCATAATATCATAGAACATGTTAATTTTGCATTAGTTAATTCATATCCCCCAACAATTCTTAAATTAATAAATTAATCATCAATTAAATACTCAAATTCCGCATTATTTTATCGATCAATAACCGAGTTCGGAAGATTGAGGATTAATTGGCTCACCGAAAAATCCTTCTACGAAATTTACACGTATTCACTGAATAGTCAATTGATAATTCCATTTCTCAATTACTTAGTTCATAGTCAATTGAAAATTTTAATTATCAATTCAGTAGCGAAGTGGTAAAACGGTTCAAGTCGATTTTAACTATTGGCCAGTTTTTAGTGAATATCTCGGAATCTAAGGGAGATAGCTAATTTTTTGTCAAAATCTTTTTTGTAGCACTCAATTTCCTCTAGAAAAAAAGGTTATTACGAAAATTTCATCATCTCCTTTAGATTCGGGGACATTCTTCAAAAACTCAACTGAGAGATAAGTCGACTTAAACCGTTTTACCACTTGGCTACTGAATTATTTTATCATTTTTCGAATTCAGTGAAGATAAGTAGACCTTAATTATTGCATTTATTGCAATTTCAATAGCCATTCTATCGAGTTGTATTGAATTTGTTTATGCAATGGGCCCAAACAGACGTCTCTCAAAATCGTCTTTCTCCCTATACCCCCAGTTAATATCTGCAAACCCAACAGCTCCTCCATTTACCCATAAACCCACACCCTCGGCATTTGAAGCCATTTGGACCTCTTAATTCCCCAGCGAATGAGATGAATGAACGTCACGATCCACGAGTGGGGACAAACACCAGAGTCAGAAAGGGTCGGAGTTCATTGTGCCACAAGTGCATACTAGTGTCCAATCGTGCCCTGGAGGCACGTTTCAAAACCGCATGCGGTTGAAAAACTCAGTGCTGCCCCAAAAGCTCGCAAGCCCACCCAATAAATCTCCAAAACATTAGCCCCAACCCATCACTGACCTAATCCAAGTGCGCGCTAATCCCCCCAACCCCCCATAAAGCGCTCCAGACCCCGTGATAACACGATCAACCTCGGCAGGAATGCAGTCGTCATTATATGGAATAAAAAAGGGCAAAAATGCCTTTCATCACCAATAAAACTGTCACATCCATCAGTCCCACTGTGGCCAAGACACACGTGACGAGATTATCGCAATCACTATAAAAAATACCGTCCGATTCTCTTCCATTTGTGCAGAAATGTCGTCACCAAATTCTTCGTAGAGCCCCAAAAAAAGTCAAACCGGAAAACTCCACCCAATCGCTCCAAATTTCGCTCCTAATTTCTAAACACTCTCTGAATAAAGTGAAGAGTGATCAGTGCAATGGCCTTTTGGGAGTTCGGTGAAATCCTAGTGTGTCAATGCCGGTCTGCATCAATCAAATGAAAATAATTCGTTAAAAAAACGAGTCCCAGTATTTTTTAAATGACTCTGTACTTGGAAATTTGCTTGGATCGCATTGGGCTGAAGATAAACAGGATTCCAGCGGCAATCGCTGGAACGTAGATGTGTTTATTTGACTCGAGATAGACGATACATTCGCCAGCGATGGTTTGTAATACCATAGGCCTTTGTTTCAGGTCGGGGCGTTGAATGCATTCGGTATTATTTAGCGCGGGCTTTGGATCAGATCCTCTCGGATTATTGAGCTGTGAAGTTCACTGGTGATGGTTTAATTGAAAGTGCATTTAACATCAAATTAAAATCCCGGAGAATTGCGGGGAAGGATTGGAGTTTGAGGAGTTGAGGATTATTGTGCGGTTTTCAGTGCCATCGATTGTCTAGGGGGCGATAGAGACTTCCGGTGAGATGGGGCTATCCTGGACGCTTCAGCAGCGCGACCTCGTCCTCGTCCTTGTCCTGGTAATGACGGTGGCTGGCGAGCCATTGACCGGAGCCGTATGCCATCGTGTGGAAAAGTGAGGATTTTTCAGTTTGGGAGCATTACGGATAACAGAATTAGAGATCAGTGATCGGCATCAATCATTATTCCAGAAATATCAAGAGAATTATTTCCCCAAAATAACTGAATTCGTTCGTTTATCATTGGAACTCAGAAAATAATAAATAATTGAGAATTTAAATTTTTTCAGTAACTATTAGGTAAATAATTGGAAATTTTCTAAAAAATATTGGAGATTATCAAATAATCGTCATTCTTCCGAACTCGATTAGTAATTGGTAAAATCATTCGGAATTTAGATATTTAATTGATGATTAATTTAATAATTGAAAATTGTTAAGTTCTATTACTTGATTGAGTATTTATGAAATTAATGGTAATGATAATTTATGATTATGCCTATCTCTGTTAGAGATTAATGTGAAAAATTATGGTTTAGAAATTTTTTGAACATTAGGCAATAGTTGCACTTGGATTCTCAATGTTGAGAGTTTGAATTCAACTGAAGATCTCTCACTCCGGCCGGAAAGTCGGGGTAATTAGGTTTTCTATGTGACATTGTCACTGGCATTTCAATGACATCGAGAATTCTGAAATTTATTGGGGACATTTAACATCACATCCAACTGAATTATCAGTGGATTGAAAATTCAGGAAAATTGTTGCTTGAATTTTCAAATTTGTCAATAATTTTCATTATCGTGTGTCATCGAGTTTCCGGGTAATTGTTTGTAGTTCTCGAAAATCTTTTAATTGGAGACTAATCTGCTAAGGGTAGAGCTCGTTTTAAGGGCTCTTAGGAAGATTGAACAGTTTTGTCTATTGTTGCTAAATTAAATCCGAGTTTCTTCACCCCGGATGCACTCCAGCTGGGTAATTGCTGAGTTTAAACGTGCGTTTGTCTAGACGAGGTGGAGGACAATGGAGGGATCCATTAGAAGATGAATTAGACGGTTGGGATTTCAATTTGTTGAGCTGTTCCACGGATTCAGGATTTATTCAGGGGATTACAGTGCGTCCATTTCACTTTACACACAAGTAAAGTTGTGACAAAGTTGTTTCGGTCGTGTGACAAACAATATTTTCTGTCACAACGGTCGAGCAGCGAGTTTCTTGTCTCGCGCCCGGAATGACAAAAATTAAATTGTACCGTACGGTATTTGGTAAAAGAATATTCCCCCCCTCCCACATAAAAATGATTACGCAATCCTGAGCAGTTGTTCATATTCATACAATCATTTTTGCGAACCTAAATGGTAAATTTGACAATTTCAACATAAATCACTCTTACGTTGAATAAATGTTCCCGAGTCAGCGAAGAAAAATTCACTATTCGTCTCGGAATTTTTTAAATGGATTCTACTCCACAATTACTTGAATTGTTTGGTCATCTTTCTCCTACTTTCTCCGTGAATAAATTTCCTTCACTGCATTTTTCTTCTTCTCCCATAAAAAAAATCAAAACAACAACTTGGAGAAACGAAACAATTTACACTGTTCAAAATTTTCGTCTGAAATTTCCGGTACGCTTTTTGGAAATTTCTGTCGAAGATAATTACCATTAAAATTTTAATTTCGTCATTTAAAATTCCGAATTTTGTGGAAAAAGCGATGAGAACCATCAATTTCCGTTACTTTTTTCCCTGAAAATGAATAGAAAACCAGAAAATTTCTGGTAAATATATTCTTGAGTTTTCAGAACAGTGACACTGAATGCGATTTAGGGGGAAAAAAATCATGGAATTTCAGATTTCACTGAAAATTCAAAGTAATTACGCACTGAATATTCATATTAGATTGTAAATTCACATAAATTAAGTTAGTCTCGTCTTTATGCAGCTTAAAATCCTGAAATTTTACTGAATTTTCAGTGAAACCAGAAATTTCATGTTTTTTATCCCCTAAATAACATTCAGTATCGCTGTCATTTTTTTCTAACAGTATAAGCGGAGGAATTTTAATAGAAACCATCTAAAAAATTAATTCGTACAAGAATATGAAGAATACAGTTAAAATTGCAACGTAACATTCCCCGGATTTTTCAAACCGTGAATGCAAAAAAAACTTTCAAAACGCAGGAAGCATTTGCGACACATCCACGTATTAAAAACAAGGTAGAAAAAAAAACTCGAGACTTTCAAACGCCAAAGAGCGTCGAATTGAAAAGAGGCTCAAGGGTACTCCAGTGTCTTTCAACCTCACGCGCCAACTGGCACTCGGATATTTGATCTATCACGATTAAACTGCAATATGCCAGAGGCATCATTGAATCTCAACTCCAGGGGAGCAAAAAGTCACAGGAGTCAAATGAACTCACTCGAAAAACTTCAAATGTATTTTACAAACGTGTTATCGTGCCGCGATCTTGAATTGCGCAATGTTATTCAAAGAATATTACCAGTCCAATTAATGACACTTGTGGACTTTCTAAAGTCTTATTCAACTTCTTCAGTTCAACAAGTGCACGTGAATCATTCAAACAACTAAATGGAAATACTATTCAAATCAAACGTGACGTCACTGTTGCCCTCTGTTTTTATCTCGAATCAGTGGTTTCGGGGGCTAATCAACTATTTTTTTTGTAATTGATGGAAGTTTAAAAATAAGTATCTTTTAATATCTTTATCTAAAATTATTGAATAGACGGGATAATTTCACGAGAAAGTTCGAGTTATGAAACATATTTGCGATTTCATATGAAATTAAGAAGAATTTTACGAGAAGACGTTTTTTGTTGAGAACTTTACGATTAGAGTCAGAATTAGGAGCAATTTATCATTTCCGTCTTCTTTCCGTCCTTATATCATATCTGAGATAAGAAAATCCCCTAAGGGAAATTCCAAATATAATTTAACTATTACAAATAAATCTTGTGAATTATTTACATTATTATAACTTTGTTTTTGTTTAATTTTCCATTGCAGATTAGTTCTCATTCGTTATTTAGTTCACGTATTTGTTTCATTTAATTTTTTTTTAAATTTAATTATTTACTTTTTTTTTCAGTATATTATTTGTATAAACAAAGAAGCAGGGTAATTTGCAAAAATAGTCTGAAAAATATTTGCATATTATTTCATGAATACTTTTGGATTGAAGATATTTACAAAAATTCATCACAAAACCTTTTTGTCAATACAATGGTCTTCAAGCAAGCTTTTTTTAAATTCTTCTCTATTCAATAGTTTTAGAATATTTTGTAGAATACAAAAAAATTCGGTAGAATCTATTTACATCCATAAGTTTTCACAAAATCATTCATGAATTTCAGTTGTATAATCCAGCAAAAATGTGCGTTGTTAGCTAGGAATTTTGTCCTGCTTATTAGAATAAAAAAATCGTCCTTGTAATTTATATTATGTAAAAAAAAGTAAGTTGTTATGGGTATGTCCCCATTCGATGCAGCTCATTATTAGTTATTATAATTGTTTCTTCTCTGCACTATTATTTTTTGTGTTTACACTTTCTCCTCTCCGTACGGGCAGTAACTCACGGTGTGGTTAATAAATTTATTCTTATTTATTCTTCATCTTATCTGCATTTATAGACGATTTTCTAAATATCTCTGAGAAGAAAGCGTGCAGATAAATTATTTTATAAACATTTTGCAGGATATTTTATGCTTTACGAAAAGTGGCTGCAATTTTTTTCTTCAATTTGAATATATTATTTTTCATTGGAGTATATAATAAACTTGATTCAAGTATATTATATACTGAATTTATATCACCTTCATGAATTTGATTTTCAGCTACACAACGACAGTGAGGGAGTCGTACCAAGAGCCGGTGCAGGTCCAGATAACCTCCTGGTGCTTCTCAGTGCCCCCGAGGTGCTCGAGAACCCGGACCGAATGGAGAACCCGTTACACAACAAAAGCAAGTATTGTTACGTGTCCCCCTTCGAATTCTATTTCAATTATCTATCATAGCCAGCCCCCTCGGTATTAACTATATCCGCCTCAGGAGGCGGATAATTCATACCAGTCGGTGCCTTTTCAGAATGAAAATACCTCATATAGAGGAAAATTTATCAACGTATATTTTACCCCTAAATTACAAGATTGCTATCACATCATTATTATTGTTTCATTTGAGGGTTCATTTGTTGTCTGTGATTATTAGACAGCCGAAACGAAAAACTACTATCCCTTCTTTCGCGTAAAACAAAGATTTTTCGGGAGCAAAATACGTATGGGAGTATCGAATAACGAAGGAGTAGTGCTAGAAATTACATTTCTTGCGTGTGTACAGAGAATTAAATTTTTTTTGAACTACCAAATCTATTTTTGCGACAAAAAATTTTCGTTCCCCCGCACTCTCTCCATGTTTGGCACAAAAAAATCTTTGTCTGATAATTTTCAAAAAACTATTTTCTTGGCACAAGTAAGATTACCCCTAAATTACAAGATTGCTATCACATCATTATTATTGTTTCATTTGAGGGTTCATTTGTTGTCTGTGATTATTAGACAGCCGAAACGAAAAACTACTATCCCTTCTTTCGCGTAAAACAAAGATTTTTCGGGAGCAAAATACGTATGGGAGTATCGAATAACGAAGGAGTAGTGCTAGAAATTACATTTCTTGCGTGTGTACAGAGAATGAAATTTTTTTTGAACTACCAAATCTATTTTTGCGACAAAAAATTTTCGTTCCCCCGCACTCTCTCCATGTTTGGCACAAAAAAATCCTTGTTTGATAATTTTCAAAAAACTATTTTCTTGGCACAAGTAAGATATGTTTGAGAACTTTGTCGTTTTTCTCTCAGTGTACTCATTAAATCGCAGCGCCACTCTGGCATGAAATAATTCCGAAATTATTAATGAGTTGGCCTAGGCGGTTATCAGTACTGTTATTGGAGGTGATGAAGTTAAAAGTCAAATAGAGAATTTTGTTTGATGAGCCCAACTATTCGTCTTCCCGGGAAAATATTCGTCATTCCCGTTGGAGATCTAATCGAAGGCATCTCCCTGAACTTCCCTGCAACTCTAATTAATAAACCGCCTCAACCATTTTGATAATCGTGTCGTGTGCCAGCAATATTTACCTGAGTAGTTGCTTTCTTCATCCGAGCATTTACAGAGCCCAAAACAATAAGAATAAATGAAAAGCCGTAAAATTACACTGATTATCCTTTGTGACGCTCATTACAGTGAAAGTGAGGGTTCGAACGTTTGCCTATTCCCCTGCTAATTAAATAATCCCGAGATGATGGCATGAGATTAGCACACATTCATAGTTACGTTGGTCTTATATTCCCAATTGAATCGTTAGCCGCGAGCAAATTTTTTCCCCCATTACCTACCCTAAACGTCAATAATTAAGCAAAATGGGCAGTCAATTATCAGCGGATAGGGACTTTTTGCATCTCAGGTGCTCTTAATTTACATACCGCGGTGATTTCATTGATTAAAACACATATGTAACATGTTGACTGAAAGAGAAATGGAGAGTAAGGCGAAAGGCAGTACTGGACACCACTTTCGGTGGGGAACTTCTTCTTTTATGCGATCGAAGTGACTGATTACGAATAATGTTACGTCTTGTGTCTCCAATGTGGCAAAAAATGGGGTTCATTAGCTGCTCGATGCAGAAGATAGAATTACGTATGAACGGCTGGGGTTTTTGTTACGGTTGAGCTGGGATCATTAGCTTTTCATTTGTTTTTGCTATTAGGAGGAGGTGAGACAGAGAGATGTGTCGGAGTGCTGCGAGGGATATGCGCGGCAGAAACTGGTGGTCAATGGGTCTCATGTCGAAAAGTGCGTGGCCACTTTGGATTGCAAACCGGGGTTTATTGGGAAGCATTGTGACATTGGTGAGTTGAAAATAAGGGTTCAGTGGAGGAGGTCAGAACATGGCGGCACGGCTTTTCAACTAGGCGACATTTCAACTACGACATTTGAACTGAAATTTTAAACCATAACATAACAACTAGTTTTTGTGAAATTACAGTATTTTCAGGAATTAGCCGAAATTTTTTTAATTTTCATTTTTTTATTCTTTGCTTTTCAGCAGACAACGTAATGCAGCGCAATTTAATCACTTAACTAATACATTCATGATTAATATCGTACAAAGATTCAATTTGCAATAAATTATTATTAATAGTTGATTCGATAATTTTTTTTTGCTGTTTTCCGAGTGACTGAATTGATTAAATTGTATTTCGTGTGGATTATCCCTTTTGAAATTCTTCGAGGATTGATACAATATCATTTTGTGAAGACTATCCCCCCTCAAATTTCTCACCGGATAATGTAGATATGTGTATGAAGTCGTAAACAAGCTAATATTTTGTTTGAATTGCTGACATTTTAGAGATTTAGAGAATCCAGTCTTTTCAACTAGGCGACATTGCAAACGATGAACGAATTTTCAACGACGAAATTTTCTTTGCAATTTTTAGAATCATTAAAAAAAATGAAATTCCCAATACGAATCCGATGAAATTTCCCGGCAAATGCAATAACAAATTCTATTAATTGTTTCTGTTCTTTTTTAGTTTAAAAATGCTCCGCTAGGCGAATATTTAACGAATCTCCCCGAAAAATATGGAAAGTAGCCCGGAAATCATGCAATCGAGGGATAAAAATTTCGCAATTACTTTCTCAAATTCCTCGACTTCATTGAGTAATAAACTCGACGGAAAACAATCCCGTCCTCGCCGTAAACATCATCACCTTAAGGATCCCAGTGATGACACCATAGGCCCCACCCCTCGACTCAATGATAATTAATGAGAATGATCGAGGCGTGAAAGTGCATTCACGCATGAAATCGTTCGGCGCGTTCCGAGCGCACGATGCGACGCACGAACACTGCTCTGTATCAAAGTTCCATACATGTGACCTCGGTGAAATTGCCAATTCACTTGTACGTCCATTTTCGACCATTAAATTAATATAAGAGAGTTGTTCTCCGCAACATCTCCCTGACGTCAGGAAGTTTATCATTACAACTTGTTTTGACACTGCTCTGTGATTCTTTCTCTAGTGGTGGAAACGACGCAGAGAAATTTCTAATGTCTTTTTTTCGATGAGAAAGAAGGATTATTGATTGAAAAAAAATAGAGGACTTGTATGCGTTAACTGTTACATGAAATATCTAATGTTTCGACTATAGTAATTATTTCTGGCTGAATTTTAAAGTGAAAACTCCCACATTTTAAGATACAAGAAGCGACAAAATTATTTTGATTGAGATGTGTCTTTCTTGAAACAAGAATTATACACTTGAACCCATTTCAAATAAATCAGATCTTACAGCGAATATCAATTATTCCTATTGAACATTTCAACAGAATCGGCCAAAAGAATAGAACATTCAACAGAAATCCAATAGAATTGTCTAACGAATTCGCTAGGTTTTTCCAACACATGAAAACGTTTACTAACAGTAAGACCCATATGATGTTGATATAAATCGTTGACTTCTTCGCCACTGAGCCATCATTTCTCGTATTTTACAGAGTGTCCAGAAGGTACTTGGGGTATTTTATGCAGGCATGTATGCAAATGTGGTACGAGCAAGGCCTGTAATAGGATCACTGGACGCTGTGAGTGCCCAGAAGGCTGGAAGGGGTCGAAGTAAGCTCATTCAAAGTCTTTCAGGTCTCCCCAGTTTTTCAGTCTCCCCAATAACACAGATGTTACAAAAGTTGAGAGTACGTCTAAAAAATTTTATCAAAAAAACCCGGTTAAAGTGAATTTTTGCCTAATGCATTAAAGCGTTATCATTGCTCTATTTTTGTGTTTTTTTACATTATGTTTCTAGAGTTTTAAAAAAAAAATTTCAAGTTGTTTTGACGAAGTTTCTGACGAGAGTTTTCTCAACGAAGCGTTTTCAACAGAATTTTTTTAAACATGGACACGTTATGACATTGTTCGGACATAACGAGACCAATTAATATGCACCCAATTAAATTGACAAGAAATGTTGCGTCATTAATTTCCCAAAGTAAATACCAAAATGCATCTTCCCCTCAAACTCATTTAATTGGAAAGACTGGCCCACTCGAACTCCATTAATTAAATTTCAGTTCTCATTTTCACTCATTAAAATTAATGTAAAAATCGTGAAAATATTCCCAGCTGTACCGAGCCCTGTGAGACTGGAAAATACGGGTTAAACTGTTCCCTGGATTGTCCCTGCGGGCATCTGAACGGAAACTGTCATCATGTGACAGGAAACTGTCTCGATTCAGTATCGATCACACCAGAGATGAGCAATTGGACACAGCCTGGGCTCGAGGCATCCACCACGGCTCCTCCGCCCCCCACAACTGCAACTGCATCATCAATGATGAAAAACACTCGAGTTGATGATTTTCCTGATTCAACAACAATGAAACCCCGTGAATAATACTTTCTCAAATGCTAATGCAATATCAAACTGCGTTTGCATTCATAATTCAATCCCCTTTTTTTGTTTATACTCAAAGATAACAGTGAAACGAGCAACAGCCGCAACGAAATTGCCCTGGATTCCACGGTTGAGACAACGATAATTACTGAATACCATGAGGTGCATTTACCAGAGACGGAGGAGTCTACAGTAAGGCCAATTGTTGCTGTTGTACATGTTGGTAAAGCACCTTCGAATAGAGAAAAAATCGTTGTTGCGCCGAACATGGGCCCAGGTATATCTATTTGAATTGAACAACTTTTATTTGAATTTAATGGAAAATTGAGAGAATTAAAAAGGATTCTACTGTCAACGTAATGTCTACATTCGAAAAAAGCAGCATTTGAATTCGCCAGTTTTTGAATATTTCAAAAGTTTCGGTACACTTTTTGGAAATTTCTATTGAATTTAATTACCGCTGAAATGTCAAGGAATTTCGTCAGTGAAAATTCAGGATTTCGTGGAGAAATCAGAGAGAACTGTCAATTTCAATTCCTTTTTTCCCTGAAAAAAAAATAGGAAACCAGAAAAATCATTATTATAAGATGTCAATTCGAAAAAAACAGCATTTGAATCCGCCGGTTTTTGAATATTTCAAAAGTTTCGGTACACTTTTTTGAAATTTCTATTGAATTTAATTACCGCTGAAATGTCAAGGAATTTCGTCAGTGAAAATTCAGGATTTCGTGGAGAAATCAGAGAGAACTGTCAATTTCATCTTCTTTTTTCCCTGAAAAAAAAAATAGGAAACCAGAAAAATCATTATTATAAGATGTCAATTCGAAAAAACAGCATTTGAATCCGCCAGTTTTTGAATATTCCATACGTTTCGGTAGACTATTTGGAAATTTCTATTGAATTTAATTATCACTGAAATGTCAAGGAATTTCGTCATTGAAAATTCAGAATTTCGTGGAAAAATCAAAGAGAACTGTCAATTTCAGTTCCTTTTTTCCCTGAAAATAAATAGAAAACCAGAAAATTCCGGTAAATATATTCTGAAATTTTCAGGACAGTGACACTGATCGCGATTTAAGGGGGGAAAAATCATGAAATTTCAGATTTCACTGTAAATCCAATATAATTTGGCTCTTTTAAAAATGTTTTAAATATTACGGCCTTAATTACATAATTTTTAATAGAAACGGACGCGCAAAATAGATCGAATTTTCCCCGAAATTTCAACAGAATTATCAGAGAGTCCAATAAAAATCCCTTTTTCATTACTTTCCTATAATTCTTTCAAGCCGATCTATTATAATTCATGTCTAACAATATCGACAGCATTTCAAATTAGAAAACCACTCAGTAACTCGAATCAAGCCACCGAACAGCATCCCAAATCGATAAATTTGCTTTTAGATCACATATCGGGTCACACAGTTCCGCTAACCCTGGACGTAGCTGTTGCCGTAGTTATCGGTTCAATAATATCCCTGGGTTTAACAACCCTGGCAGTACTGGCAATCCTCCACGTACGTACAAAACTATTCGAGACTATTCGTCTCTCGATTTACGACGCCGAAAAGCCGGACCCAACGTCAGCAACACTTCCACGTGAAAAAGGAAGCACTGGAATCACAACCATAAATCGTAGTGGGACACTAACTCCATGTGACTATGGTATAAACTGTATAGTTTTTTTATTTCATTGATTTTTTAATTTATTGATTTCCGAAAGTATTATCCCCTTTTATAACTCCCGTAGACTAAAATATAGGCTGTGACATTGGAATTAAACAGTTTCGTAAGTAATTATTGAGAAAATGTTAATAAGACAATTAACTAGATCAGTTTCACTTTTTTATATCACGAAAAATATAATATATAATTTTCCAAATGGAGGATTTATCTTCTCATCGAAATTACTATTTTTTTATTGTTCTGTCGTCATCTATCGACTTCGGTCAATCGATAGTGACGGTGTGAAGTGACTCTGAACGAAAAAAGATTGCCCGAATGATTGGTAGATTACACGCATCCGGTAATGAGCCCCCAGTTGTCTTCCATGGGACCAATAACACAATCCATTTCTCAATTGAGGCGTCCCAAGGGAATAAAACTGATGGATTTCGAAAGTACGCGCTTTTCGCGTGCGTCATACACGATGAACTGACATTTTTTGTAGAGATTGTGGGGAGATTGGCATTAATTTTTTGTGTATGTTTGGTTATTCATTTCTTGCAGAGACACCCAGGTGTATTGTTCCCCAGGGATCGAGGACACTGCCAAGGCCGAGCAGTGTGATGACAAGGGAGTCGACTTATTCTAATCAATATCCGAATATTCAACTTTTTAACAGTCTCAGAGGTGAGTGGAAATTGGGAAAAATTGATTAATTCTTATTTAAATATAGTCTTCATCAATGAATGGAAAATCAATGATTGTTTAACATGAACACACGTATGAAACAATTCAATAGAAAATTTTGCGAATTTGCTAAAAAATTCTATTGGAATTCTATAGGAATTCTATGGGGTTTCAATAGGATTTCTATTGGAATTGTATTGAAAAATTCTATTTGTTTTTTATGCTGATTCTATTGGATATTCGATGAGAAAAAATCAATACATTTCGAATTTCTGTTTAAATTTTTCTCTTGAGATATTTTCTTTAAGAATGCTTCGGCATCAATTTTCCAAATTTTTTCCACTCGGATTCTCCAATGCAAAACAAAACAAATTCCAGCGGAACAAACTTAGAAATTTTGTGCCTGATAATTTTAGTAGAAAAAATTTAAGAGAAAAATTCAAACAGAAATTCGAAATCTATTGACTTTTTCTTATTGAATATCCAATAGAATCAACGGAAAAAACAAATAGAATTTTTCAATAGAATTCCAATAGAATTTTCTGGCGAATTCGTTACGTTTTCTACTGAATTTTTTCATGCGTGCGTCGACCTCGCCGCGCGTCATTTGTCTTTAATTACAATAGACCGTCGAACCAGAAAAATTAAAAATAAATTGACTCAATGGAAGTCTAAAAAATTACACTAGTTTTTAGAACAACATATTTTCCAAAATTCCTAAAGAAAACAAATTATTTTGGACAGATGAATTATTTTTTCCCACGTTAAATGAAATCGCCCAAGCCGCAACGTTGCCGGAGGCTCGTTAAACGCGCCCGGGCAGTGTAGAGTGAATTCGGCAACGCTGAATCCTAAATGACGCAGCGGGGAATCACCGCGGAGGTGACCAAGTCGCCGGGTCGCGTTTGTTGACCGCACTAGGGTTAAAGAAAAAAAAATCAAAGGCCTTGGGTATCCAAATGCAAAGAATGTCCCACTAAATTCTCCCCAATTGCAATTCCTCACGCATATCGTCAGTCTTCTCCTAATTACCCTGGCGTCCCTATTCTCCTCACGAAAGCTCCTCCATTACGATCATTATCCTCCCGAACCACGGAAATGTCACTTAATCCCCAGCCGCCCATCCCTCTCGTCATTCTCCACCCAAGAATAAAAAAAGACCTTCGGAATAGAACAACGAAATGGAGCCGGAAGTAACGTATCAGTAGCTTCCTGCAGATTTACATGAACGTTGAGATTGCTATCAGTATATTGGAAAGTTTTGAAATGAGGAAAAGGTGGCCGCCTTCTCCGGGATCTTGGAAGCCTGCCATTGCGCACTGGCATAGATTTTAACCACTTATCGCATAGGAGGAAACAATTTAGATCTGGGCTTTATATCACGATGATTAGGTCGGTATTCAGTGGATGCTTTGGATTACAGAACTCATGGAGGCACATTACGATCGTCCACCGGCGGCCAACACCTTTCGACAAGCCCCCGGCGATGCCGAAGCTGAACATCTCTATGACGAGATCCCTCTGCAGTCTATCAATTTTGGGGAGAATAAACACGATTTACTGAAGTGAAATGAAACCAAAAAAGGAAAGGAATCATCATTCACGCCAAATATATTTTCATTCTGTCTGATTTAGTTGGGGTATGAAAAAAATTGATGGAAAAACGTCGCGCCTTTTCTGAAGAATTCTATTGAAATTCTGTTGGACTTCTACTGAAATTTTAATTTACATTTTTTTGCAGAAAAAATTAATACGTACGGGGTTTCATGAACGTAATTTATAAATACGACGTAATTTATAAATTACGTTCATGAAACCGTCATTTACGGTGATTTTAAGCGCAACTTACGAATGCGAAATTGTCAATTGCGTTTATGTAATCGTAATTGACAGCAATATCGAGCGTTACTTCCACTTCAACTTCAAGCGTAAAATACGTTTCAGAAAGCGTAAAAGACGACTTCTCAAACGTAATTTACGTTTAGGTTTTTTAATGCCTTTCGTGATGGGAAACTGAAAAAATCCAGCGGAGAAAACTTAGAATATTTATACCGATGAATTCCTGCAGAAAGTCTCAAGAGAATAGAATGGAACTTGAACAGATGTCTTGCAGAATTTCTGGGAAAAATCTCTGAATTTTCATGAGATTTTCATAAGGTTCGACGTAAACGATCTCTTGTGATGATTTTTTCTGAATCTGTTTCTTGCGAAGATATGCACAAATTCAGAAAATGACTGTTAAGCTCATCTCCCTCTAACTCCCAATTCAACTCAACTATTTTTACACTTGACAAGTGATTTTTGTACAATAATAAATGATAATAAATAAACATATTTTTAAAGGCGTCATTGACCTCATTTGCTCCTACACACTGTCATCCTCTGAGTGGTGAGATTGAGTCATCGAGTGACATGGGTGATAAACACACTGAGAGAAAAACAAACACGTCAAACAAGTCTTGTTTGGGCCAACAAAATGACATTTCTTGCGTGTACAGAGAATGCAATTTTTTTTTAACTAAAAAATCTATTTTTGCGACAAAAATTTTTCATTCTGGCGCACTCTCTGCATGTTTGGCACAAAAAAATTCTTTTTTGATCATTTTCAAAAAACTATTTTCTTGGTACAAGTAAGACTTATTTGAGAACTTTGTCGTTTTTCTCTCAGTGTATAGTAGGTTGTTCTACGCATTCGCTAGGAGATTCTGCCCAATTTATATTCGAATTTTATTGACAATTCTATTGACAATTGGAATTGACATTCGCACGATAATTACCGACCACAGCCGACCCTAAACAAACCAGCCATGAGTCTCCAACACATCATTGATCCCAATAGCTCCTACGCATTACCTCATCCCTGAAATGGTAATAGTATGATATCGCCTGGAGGTCAAACAATATTTTCGTGTTTGAATCTCGGTCAGTCGAAACCGTAAATTCCCACTGATAATCGAACGTCTCTATTCCGCTAATTCTAATCAGCTGACCCGCTGTGACACATCAAAGTTTATGTAATCAAGAAGCAGATGAAAACAAGTATTCAGTGAGTAAGAGACATTCAACAAGGAAACATGGTCTTCAAGCAGCTTCATATTCTCGTCTTTCTGCTGGTGGGCGTATTCTTCGCCTCTGCACAGCACGTCAAGGGAGGTCGTTATCAGCAGACTTCAAACGAGACAGGATACTGCTACAAAAGGATTCCGTGAGTGAATATATTCCAATGGATTCATTCAGACACTCCGAACCTCTCAAACAATTCATCCCCCATTGTTCCAACATCAAAAGCTTCCTAAAAATAATAGTAGCATTTCGAACTACTCAGAGACGAATGGATAATGAAAATTGTCCTGAAGATATGGACAAAAATTACTAAACTGCGGAAATGTCGCGAGAATTGCTCTTTGGTCCCGTGAATTTTAAGGGTCAGGTAAATTTTCACCTCCTGGAGAGGGAAAAATTGCGTTCCAGGCACTTTTCCGCACAAGTTAAATGCAGCCGCAGTGTCAAAAAAATCTTTAAGTGACGCATCGTGTTCCCGGATTTTTCACTTTTATAAAACTGAAAAATCAATTCAGTAGCGAAGTGGTCAAACGGTTCAAGTCAATTTAGTCTTTAGTTGAGTTTTCCAGAAATATTTCCGAATTTAAGGCAGATAGCGAAATTTTTATAATAACCTTTTTTGTAGAGCAAATTGAGTGCTACTAAAAAGGTTATGAGAAAAATTTTGCTATCTCTCTCAGATTTCGAGATATTCATTGAAAAATGGCCAATAGTCAAAATCGAATTAAACCGTTTGACCACTTCGCTACTGAATTACTTTAAATAATAATAAAAAATAAATTAATGAAAATAAATAAATAAATAATGATAAAACATAAATAAAATAATAATTCTTTTCAATAAAATATAGTAGTTTTTTTTATTTGTTTGTTTTTTTTGGGTTTTTTCTGTTTGTTGGGCTTCGAAAGAACAATTACACGGATTGATAAGCTCGCAATTTTCAACGCCCACTATCAAAAATATTACATAAACTGGATGGACAGCTCCAGTCACAGATACGAATAGTATTTCCTCTTCGCTATTACGATAAACAGTGACGTAATAATCAATATTAGTCAAGTCACTTTAGAAAATATCCGCTTCATATAAATGTCACATTGAATGAATCCACGAATACAATTTGGGGGTTGCGTCCCTCTGTGACTGTGCGATCGATATCCACTTCGTATAAATTAAAAAGTTCATCCCCCACCTGTCAAAAACATGAAATTACCGTCGCGTAACTTCCCTACGAATTTGGAGGAATTCTTGTCAACCAGCTGAACAATTTATTCCTCTAATGCAGAGTTATCATTCATCAGTTTTATTCAACTTGAATGACTTATTGGACCCAAAGGCGTTCATTATTCAATCTTAATAAATTTGTTTTCTCAGTCACATGTAAAAATTTTTAAATGAACTTTGCGGTACACTTTTTGAAAATTAAGCGATAAAATGCATTTCGGTGGAACTAAAATGCCATCGCACTGAATTCCAGTAAGATTTCCCCTCAATAAAATCCAAAAGCCCTTGCTTAGTGAATACTCATCATTTATCTGCATCGGTGAATGAATCGGGTCATGAGGCGCTCGCAGCACGAGATGATATCATGCCTCAGAGTGTCTGACCTCGACCTTTCACGCTGCAACGCAGGAAAAACCCAGCATCGATACTCATAAAAAAAAACTGAAAGGAAAATTCTCGGAAAAAATTGTAGTCAGATTGCGCTTGAGGGACAGTATTCTCTTTTCAGGTATCACCAGGCACTATCTCAATACAACGACACTGAAAGCTATAAACCAGCCGGATATGGGCAGCCTGCCAGGCCCGTAAGAACCCAGTTTTTTTTTCACAATTTATACAATTTTATTTCTCTACTCCCTCCATTCATGTTTTCGTAAATGTCAATGTTATCTCTTCCAGCACTGGAATGATACATTCAGCAATGATTACGTGACAGTGCTGGATTGCTGCGAGGGCTATCGGAAAAATCCAGCCACCGGTCGCTGTGAATCGAGCTCCACCAGCTGCGTGGGCGGATGTTTTGGTGGTTCTTGTGTCAACGGCGTTTGTACCTGTAACGCCGGATGGTTTCCCTCCGAGGGGGTCTGCAAACCTTTCTGCAGAAATCCTTGCCCGGCAAATGCTTACTGCTTCGCCCCCGAGTATTGCGAGTGCAAACTTGGATGGGAGAAATCGCCCAATGGCGAGTGCAAACCTATTTGTCCTGGTGGGTGTGTCAATGGTGACTGCGTTGCACCGAAGGTCTGCCAGTGCAGGCCTGGCTATATTTTGAATGAACAGCTGCAGAGGTGTGACGCCGTTTGCGAAGGAGGATGTCCGCATGGAGAGTGCACAGCTCCCGGAGTTTGTTCTTGTCATCCGGGGTTTGTAGATCAATATTTATGGATTGCAATTATTTTGGCCTTGAGTTTTGAGTCTTGTAACGTTTGTAACATCCCTAGAAATTTTACCTCAACAGCAGCAGAATTTTTCGTAGGCAGAACTAGAATTTTTGGAAAGAACTTCTCTCCGTGTGAGAAATTTTATTAAACTAAAAGAACGTCTTCAAGAATTCCATCAGAATTCTCCTGGAATCCTATTAAATTTCTATTAAAATTCTCTCAGAAATTTTCACAATAATTTTACAACGATTTTCCTTTGACATATTCTCTTGAGATTCTTTTTACAGAAATACTTGGTCATAAATTGTGTTTTTCCTGTGAGTCAAACTTTCCTGTTTCTAATTACAAAATCCTAGGAAAAAAAAGGATAATTCAGGCTCAAGATTTTTTTATTAAATACAGTGCAACGGAATAAATTCTAAGGAAAAATCAGAATCTATTGACTTTCGTTATCAAAGGACGAACCATTGAATTTTGATGGATTTCAATAACGAATGCATTGGGTCCACTTTACGTACGTCAAACGGAAAACGAACACTTTACGCCCGCCAAACCGCCCCGAGTAGTGAACTTATCAGGCAGATGTTGCAAAATCCGCGGAAAGAACCGCCTCATTATTTAAAATCCCATTTCCAGATGGTTCAATCCGCCTGGGGACCGTGAGACCTGCAAAGCGGACTGTCGCCCGCTGGGTTGTCACAATGGCGAATGTGTCTCGCCAGGAGTGTGCGTATGCAACATAGGTTACATCAAGAATCTAGCCAACATCTGTTCACCCGACATGTCCCAGTGCCCGAGAGGATGTCCAGCGAACGCAGGTTGCGTCGCCCCCAACCTTTGCGTCTGCAATCCCGGTTTGACGATGGATCGCGAGAACAACAGATGCGTCCCGGGGATAAGTTATCCGACTGGTCATCAACCTGGCTCAGGCGATTACAATCAGCCTGGGGTGTACCAACCTCGTCCAGGAAATTACAACCAGTCTGGAAGCTATCAACCGCGTCCAGGGGATTACAGCCAACCTGGGGGTTATCAGCCACATCCAGGGGATTATAATCAACCTGGAGGTTATCAGCCACGTCCAGGAGATTATAACCAGCCGGGAGGCTATCAACCTGGAAGTAATCGCCCTGGAGGTTATCAACCTCGTCCGGGAGACTACAACCAACCTGGAGGAAACTTTGGAGAAGCCAACTGCGAGCGTCCCTGCGTCAACGGGGTCTGCATGGGCTACAACATCTGCAGCTGCAACAATGGCTACGAGCAGGATCCCCTTGACCCGTCTAGGACACACTGCTTACCATCCTGCCCTGGCGGCTGTCCCAATGGCTCGTGCTCAGCGCCAAACCGCTGCATCTGTAATCCCGGATTTGTCAAAGATAGGAGTGTCAAGGGGAGCCAGAGGTGCATCCCCAAACAGGATTATTAATGCAAAACTCAATCAACCGTTGATTGTTGAAAAAGTATGATGATTGTTCTGGGGAAAGTCTGCCCTGTTGAATAAATAAAGTGGATTTGATGGTGAGGTTCTTTTAGAGTTATTGAAGCAGCTTGGAGAATTTGAATTGTGCAATAGTTGCGAGGTGTTTATCTCGGGGATGGAAATCTGTGAAGGTTTCTTCTTATGTCAAAGAACTAGCAAAACTGCTGAGTAGCGGAGGGAGAGCAACACGCATGAAGAGAATCAATAGAAAAGAGAACGGGTTCGGGAGAAAATCGAAAAATTGAGCTTTCAAAATTCTTTTGGCGCTCTAGCAGAACTCTGCTGGAATTTTAGTGAGAGTCGCGCAATTCTTTCGGGGTCTTCCAATGTTTGATGGAAATAAGTTATGATGAGTTGGTTTTTGTAGAATTGAAATGAAGAGTCTTAAGAGACAAATCTGAATAGTTTCTCAGTTACATAGATCGGCATCAATCATTACTTTTAGTAATATTATGAGATGCTGCACCTTATGGTAATTTAGTTTTATTTATCGTAATTGAAATTTGAAAATTAATATAGTAATTGGTAATTTGATTTCTCAATTAGTGGTTGATAAAATAATTCGGAATTTGCAAATTTAAATTGACCGTTATTTTTAAAAATCAAAAAATTAGTGAGTTATATTAACAATTGACACATTTCAAGTTTGACTGTAATTCAAAATTTCGATTATGCCGACGTCAGCTCAGTTAAGTATCTGTCATATATTGCGCAGAAAGGTTACCAAGTTCTCAATAAAATTTTGATTTATGGATCACTAGACAGGATTATTGAATCAAATTTAAATCAATCATCGAGTGCACAGATTGAACAAGAATGACGTAATCTGGATTTGGAAGGAAATTCCGTCCTGTCAAATGAATCAAATCATTATGATAATGAGATATTTTTAGATTTATTGAGGGGAGCTTAAAGAATTTGTATCGTGTGGAAACATTTATCTGTCGATTTCTCTATGGATTGACGCTAAGTAGCCTAGATGTCTCATGGCACATGACTACCTTATGATTTGGAAATATTTGGGTTAGGAAAGGCTCCGAAACTCTCGGACGAAAGTTTTGTAAAGGGAATTGTGCAATTTTTCCGTGGAATTTTTCAATAGATTTTGCATACAAACTCGGAATAAATTTTATAGATCTCAATCTTTCTATAAAATCCTTGGGCATTAATTCAGCAAGTTTTCTGTTATTCGATTTTTTGATTATATACTTATCTCAATGAAAGATCTTCTGGTGATGACTTGACGAAGCCAACATTTCCTCGACGAAAATTATAACACGAGCTGGTGCTAAATCGTCTCATCTCTCTGATGACACTGCTGTCTCAGTGATGAACAAGCGTGAGAATGCTTATCCAATATTTGAACTAGCAACTGTCCGCCTCTCTAACAAAGCAAAGTGGCTGGAGGGTACATGCACGAACCCCTAGATTTTTTTTTAAAACCTTGGCAGTAACAAAAAATTCATAATGCCCATTTCATCGTCATCGCCAGTTTATTCTTTCAACCGCGAGATTCATTTCCATTCAATCACCATGAATAACTCATCGGAAAAAAATACCTTCAGAAATTATTCGTTTGAACTAAATAAACGTTTCTTCGCTCATATAAATACGTCCCTCAGTTATAAAAATAAAAAAAGGACCAAAAGAGTCCATTCTGCCCCCCCCTCTCTCACGTAAAATGAATAGAAAAAAAACTCAAATGCCGAATGCTATTACTTTTAAAGGTGCACCGAGAGAAAAAGGAACAATTTCTCAATCGAACAATTTTCTTTTCAAAAGAAAAATTACCAAAAAAATAATTATTTAGTTTGAATTTTAATGTTCCGAACATGAATAATTGCTCCGCTTTCAACATAGTGTTTGGCTCAAGAGGCGGATCATTCATACAAGACGATGCCTTTTCAAGATAAAAATCTCTTTTATAGAGGGAAGTTTATCAAAAAATATTTTATCCCTAAATTACAAGACACTTCATTATTATTATTTAATTTAAGAATTCGTTTTTTCTCTGTGATTATTGAATAGCCGAAACGACGAAATGGTATCCCTCGTTTCATATAAAACGAGCATTTGCTGGGAGCAAAATGCGTAAGGGAGCATCGAATAACGAAGAAGTAGTACATTTCGAAACGAGTGAGACAGAATTTCCACGAGTGTAAAGTTGGCGATCCGAAGCGAACACCAGAGCTGCCAACGTTACGTTCAGCGAGTGGCCGAACTGTGTCTTTTTCGTTTACAAGTAAACAACTAAACAAAAAGGCCATAGGTGAACGTAGCAGCAGTGCCAAAAATTACATTTCTTGCAATAAATTTTTTTTGAAAAGACTAAATCTACTCTCGCCATAAAAAATTGTAATCTCGGCGCACGCTTCGCATGTTTGGCACGAAAGAATCCTTCTATACTCATTAAAAAAAAAATTTTTTGAAACCATTTGAATAAACGATGATTAAAAAAATCCTTTTTTAATCATTTTAAGAAAAGGGATTTTTTCGACACAAGTAAGACTTGTCGATACTGATAGAATGATTCATTTATTCCAAACGAGATTCGTTAACTATTAACGAATGGTAGAGTTGAATATGACCAAATGTATATTCGTTAATAGTTAACGCATGGTTCACTTGAATGGCGAAAGTCAAGTCAAACAAGGCTCCTCAAATATACATTCGTTAACTATTAACGAATGAACATTTGGTGGGACCGAATAGACCCTAACCTCCAACCAAAATCCATTCGTTAACAATAACTAATCCGTTCTATCAGTGTAAGACCTCTGCTGTTTCTCCCCCCCGCCCCTGTGATTTATCCTTATGCACTCCTTCTCGAAAGCCTCTCCCTCACATCCCGCCATTCTCCCCCAATCCTGGCCACATCTTAAATTAAGACACATCCCCGCCGAATACATATTAACGTAGAACCAATGGACCGTGAGTCTCAACATCCCCAAGACCCCCGAACGAGGCCCGAAGCTCCCCCCCCCCTCCCCGCCCCCCAAACCACCAAATCTCCATCTCCACTTCTTTTCTCTTTCACACGGAAACATCGATCTGCCACGCTTTCCCGTAATGTAGGTCGAGGGGAATGGGGATGATGGAGTGGGTAAAGGGTAGATGCGCACCAGTGACGGGGTGGATGGACTTTGGCACTGGCATTTTGGGGTCGGCTCGCTCGGTGGCGCTGCAACGCGGCACACGCGCTGTAGCCAACTCCTCTCGTGGGAATCCCCTTAGTATGTGTGCGCCTCCCGACACGGTGGCGTTACAAAGCCCTCGTCTCCCTCGTTGTTATTACCCCTGAATTGGATAAATGTGCAGTGGGTGAAGGTGGGTTTATGTTTGTGTTGGGCCACGGCGACGCTGGGGTAACTGATGGGGAGCCGGTACAGCGGAGTGGGAAAGAGATGTCGATGCGCCACGGATGCTCGGTTACGGGGGTAGACTCGCGCCGCGGGGGCGATGAGCGCACTTCCGTTTGCCCTTAGATTGTCCTGCTGTTGTTGGTGCTGGTTGACATTTATTGTTATACTATTGAAATCAAGTTGCGTTGAGACAAGTGATATTGTTGGTAGTGATAATACGAGGCTATTCTGGGAACTTTGGAGTTATGAAGATTTGGATGTTGGGAGGGATGAGGCATCGCGGAGCCGTACCTCACGGAGGGCTCAGGGTGTATACGATGAGGAGGGCGATGGGGATTTATCGTACGACGGAGAGGAGGACTATATCGAGGGAAATTCGACAGGTAATTAGAGCTCTAATGCGTCAAATTTCGTCATTTTAATTTGATCGGGGGTATCGGTTTCACATGAGTACTTCGAGTAATTGTGAAGGTGTGGTTTTTAGGGTGGCGATTAGCTGATAATTGGTTGGAGGGGGTTTGAAAAATTCCGGGGATATTTTACTATCGCGTGACGTGATGTATTTTGTCCACTGTTTCACGTGCCACACTCCAGTGCACGATCATGTCGACATACGTCGGATGTGAATGACCTGATTGTCTTGTGTTCTTAGTGGGTAATCGTGCTTGTTTAGATAATGTGGAGTGCCCGGAGGAACCTCTCTCACAAAATTATGTCAGGTTATTTAAGGCTTATTCGATTCGGATTACATTCTGGAGAAAGTGGTGTTAGGAGGCGATTTAGATTTCTAATAACACTTGGTTTTGACGGGTCTCGTAATAACTCTCGCTTTGTCGTACATCTGAGACTGAATTTTTACCATTCGGAGGTCCACGGTGGGTGCTATCGTTAGGTAGAACTCTGGTAGGAACTTTCTTTTTTATTGATTCAGGGATTTCGTGGGCTAGTGGGGTAAGTGCACTTGTCAAAATCCTTTTAGGATGTGCGAGTTTTTACATAATTTTCAGGTCGTGAATTACGGGCCATTGGGACTATCGGGATGTCATGTGCGCCGTCATCTTGTCGTAATGACGTACTATCCCCTTGAAGTGTCCTGCATGCAACTGGACCAGCACATGCTCTATCTGCACATCTTTTCAAGTACCTTCGCATGCTTCACCCTCAATTTGAGGATAATGGAGCCCATAGGAAGATGTTAAATTAAATTTTCTATATTTATTGCGCTAAATTTCCGGTTTAATTAAAAATTTTGGAGGACTTTCGAGGCTTTTCTTCTAATTAGTCGGCGAGTTTTTATCGGTTTAATAAATTCAATAGTTCTGGTGAATTTAGGACGCGGGTTTTTTCAGCGTATCGTATTATTAAAGTCAACAATGCGGCGTTAATGGTCTCTGGCTCGCGTGTATTGATTATAATTGCCAGCCACCGTGTTGTTGATATCCAACGTAAACATCATCAGGACTTTCTGCATATGTTAACGAGAATTATTCCACTCAATCAAACCTTGAATATTGAATTTTCATAGTGGGCGATGTCAATTATACGAATGCTTTTGTTGGAGTAATTAAGGGAATGGGCACAAGGCTGATTTGATTGATTGGGTTGCAGAAAAAGGGCGATTCCTGGGTTCACTGTGCGACGACACATGCAGCCCGAATCTACAGCATGTTGTTTGCGACGCAGTCAGCGGTAAATGTGAGTGCGAAAAGAATTATCCGGTGCAGCTTGGACCGACAAAAGGCTGTGCTAAACGTGAGTTTCAATGGAATATGAACAATGAGAACATTTTCTGGAATTCGGGAATGTTTTTCTCGTTTGAAAGCTTGAGAATTTTCAGACGAAGAACATTTTGACAAAATTCTTTTCAGCGAATGAGAAGGTTTTCGTCTGTGCCTCGGAAAATGCAAGGGGCAAAACCGCGTGCGCAAAATCCCAGTTATATGCTTTGTGATGATAAATAGGGTTCGACGCAGTGGGGAAAGTGGTTTTTGTGGTTACCCTCGGGAGAGTGGCGCTGCACACCTCCCACGGGGCATATGCGGAGAGAAAAATTCAATAAAAATTACCAAAAAAAAAAAACGGAAAAATTACGTTTTTAAATATATTCCGCGGGCGGAGTAAAATTCAATAAAAAGTGTGAGTCGGAACTGAAATTCTACGAATCGCCACGCAAATTCTACGATTTGTTCCGTAAAAATTAAACCCTCGTCTGATGACTCACTGCGGTGGGGACAACAAGTCGTTCCGTAATTTTTCCCCAACGATTGAGAAATTTTACGGAACGGAACGTAGAAATAACTCACCAGCTTCATAAAAATTGTTGAACGTTCAAGAATTTTTTATTTTGGAGGCACAATAAGTCGGCAAATTGCTGTAAGATTTTAATTCTTCGGGAAAAATTACGTGACAATTTCGTGCTTTGTTCGGTGATGAACCTGAAAATTCACTGAACGTTTCAGATTTCTTCTCTTCCATTCCTATAAAAATTGCCGGAAAACGATTCCTCACTGCGGATTACGTGAATTGTTCCGTCATTTTTACTGAATATTTCTCTCCGTGTAATAGTATATTTCGTCATGTCTGCACGGACAGTACAATTTTCCTGAGATTTGTCCAAGTACTGAAAATCGAGATTGTTCCACGATTACTTTACTTGTTCGATAATTTTTCTCCGTGCACGTTGACACGACTCCTGTATTTTGCCTCCCTAGATTAGAACTATACTATTTCGCAATGTTTAGATGAGGTTTAAAGTTGATTGAATTCTTTATTCAGCTAAAAAACTCGGAGAACAATGTTTCTATCGAGCAAGCTGTACATTCGTCGACCAGCACGCAACGTGCACGCAGGTACAACACAATGCCATATGCGAATGCGATACGGGATATCACCGTGTCGTTCTCTCAAGACCAACAAAGAAAACATTCTGTGCAGAAGGTACATCCAATTCACTGATAAATCATTAAGTACGCATAACCGATTCAAATTCAGTGGCGAAGTGGTAAAACGGTACAAGTCAATTTTGACTATTGACCAGTTTTCAATGAATATCTCGGAATCTAAGGGACATAGCAAAATTGTTATTATAACCTTTTTTGTAGCGCCGATTGAGAGCTACAACAAATGTAATTATAAAAATTTCGCTATCTCCCTTAGATTCGGAAATATTCCTCAAAAACTCAACTGGGAGATAAGTCGACTTAAACCCTTTTACCACTTCGCTACTGAATTAATTAATTAAAATTTGGCACTACCGAAAAATTGTGTTATTAAAAATTCGATTGAGGGAATTCAATGATGATTTGTGAATCAATTGGAAATTATGATGGGAATCCTTGGAACTCATGTGAATCTTGAGAAATATTGCATGGCATTTCCAATTTATTCAAAACTGAATTGTTGAAGGATGTTTACCCCAAAATTCTCCTATATATACTATCCTATAGATATTTTTTTTTTAAATATATTAATTTTTTTACAGTTAAAAAAATTAAAGTGTAAAAAAAAATATATACATGTTGTATATATAGTATAAAACAATATTATATAATATATACATATATACTATTGTATACATATTTTTTATACAGACCTACATATTTTTTTCAGAAAAAAAAAGAAACAAATCAGAAATAAATTTCTCCTTTTTTACAATTACTGTAAACAAAAGATTACAGTACATAAAAAAATAAACCTAGACATCATATTACGTTACGTGATAGTCGGAATAGAGGCATCAAAAATCATTACACAGGATTTTTTAAAAGTGGATAACAAGGTGATTGATGCTGGATCATGCGTTTCAGATCTCGTGCTGATAAAGACTGACCTCGCTACTCTTCTTGGTGTAGCGTCGGGTATAGCGGTGCTCACGGGACTGATTTGCTTCGTATTAAAGTTATTCAGCAGAGCTAGATACTCAGAACCCAGGCATTATGCCAATGCCCATCATACTCCACCGATGTTATTCAGTAATGATGCAGGTCAGTCCCTTCTCTCATTGATTTTATCATCAATTGCGTTTAACGAGAAATATTGATTTAAGAGACATAAATCAGAATCAAGGCTCTCTAATTTTAGAATCGACATTGTGGCATTGGAAACAAGTTTACTGAGTTAATTTTATTCTTCTATGAGTTATAGACATCTCTTCGGTGAATAGTTTAACCTAGTGGTAAAAGGGAGCAAGATCAAATTTGGAATGAATTTGCATGTCAATGGGGAAACGTTTTTCAGAGGAATCAGTTGAGAGTTGGGAGAATTTCAACTCTAATCCAGTAATTGTTGGAATGTTTGAACAATTAGTTACCTGAAATTCTTGCGCGTAGGAAAAAATTTAGTAGAAAACCTAGCGAATTCGCTAGAAAATTTTATTGGAATTCTATAGGAATTCTATTGAAAAATTCTCTTTGATTTTTGCGCTGATTCTATTGGATATTCGGTAAGAAAAACTCAATAGATTTCGAACTTCTGTTTGAATTTTTCTCTTCCGATTTTTTGTATAAGAATGTTTGGGCGTCAATTTTCCAAGTTTTTTCCACTCGGATTCTGCAATGCAAAACAAAACAAAATCCAGCCAAAAAAACTTGGAAAATTTGAGCCCAATAATTCTAATAGAAAAAGTCTAAGAGAAAAATTCAAACAGAAATTCGAAATCTATTGAATTTTGCTTATTAAATGTCCAATAAAATCAGCGCACAAAGCAAATATAATTTTTCAATAGAATTCCAATAGAATTATCTAGCGAATTCGTTAGGTTTTCTAACGAAAACCTGGTCTTGTTCTCTTTCTCTTTTCTTCGATGCGAATCTTTAAAAGGGAGCAATTTAGGACGATTTACCAGAGAACTTTCTTCATAAGGAATTTTATGAACTGCAGAAGATATTCTCCCCGGTTTTCCCTAAATCGATTCACTTCGGAGATATTTGCAGAGTAATCAATATCTCATTTTCAAACTTTCCTCTTTCTCCTTGAAATTAATTGTCAAATATTTCGAAAAAGTTTGATAGAAATTGATTAAAAGACGGGTTTCAGCAAATGTTCATCAGAATCTTTGATTATCTCTGAACCTCCTGATTTAAAAAATAAACTGTAAAAGTATTAGCGCAAGAAGTGAAGCATTTGCTTTCGATGAATAAAATATGAAAACCGTTGACAATTTCAATTAACCTTGGAATTATTTTCCCCTGAGTGCAGCCAATGTTGAGTATTCAATTGAGCTTGAGCCCCCGAGTGAAACCAGCAATTACGATTCACTCCATGAACGCAAGTAAAAAATTCAATGGCAAAAATTCAAGAGCAGACACGTCCCTCCGATTTCCACCGAGCCCATCGCCACATTTGCCCTAATGGATCCTCCTCCATTCATTCATTCAGGTATACCATTGACGCTCTCAGGAAGGCCCTCGTCGCGCTCAAGCCAGCGCAGTGGCGACGGCCCATTGAGCTGCGGAGCATTCACGAGGAGACCGAGCAGCGGTGGCAGCCGTGGACCACTCGTTCCAGCATCGCGTGCAGGTGCGGCACGTGCCGCCGCCATCTTGCTTATTTCGTGTCACCTACAGGCAGCGGCCAAAGGGAAAAAGCACCGACGTACCCTTAGCGACGTTGCCGAGGGATCCAACGGCCTCGGTAGACGACAAAAAAAATTGCAACAATTGCGGAGATAAACGCAATGACAAAATTATCGATGTTCCTCCCTCCATTTTTTGTTTTCTCAGAGACGAAATTTTTCCCAAATTGAGAATATTATACTCCCCACGGCGGGCGCAATGAGACAGCGGATGCAAAGGGAGAAAAATTCAATAAAAATTACCAGAAAAAAAACGTAAAAATTACGTTTCGAAACGTAATCCGCGAGCGAAGTAAAATTCAATAAAAAGTGTGAGTCCGAACTGAAATTGTACGAATCGCCACGTAAATTCTACGATTTCTTCCGTAAAAATTAACCACTCGTCTGATGACTCACCGCTGTGGGGACAACAAGTCGTTCCGTAATTTTTCCCCTACGATTGAGAAATTTTACGGAACGGAAAGCAGAAATAACTCACCAGCTTCATAAAAATTGTTAAACGTTCAAGAATTTTTGATTTTGGAGGCACAATAAGTCGGCAAGTTTCTGTAAGATTTTACTTCTTCGAAAAAAATTACGTGACAATTTCGTACTTTGTTGAGTGATGAACCTAAGAATTCACTGAACGTTTCAGATTTCTTCTCTTCCATTCCTATAATAATTGCCGGAAAACGATTCCCCATTGCGATTGTTCCGTCCGTTTACTGAATATTTCTCTCCATGTGCGTACGCCGAGGCGAAGCCTTCAATAAAATATTCAGTGTAACGTTTTTTTAAGCCAATCTATTGGGCCTATCGCATCTTTCGATTTTTCATAAATGATGATAGTATACATTAAAGATATTACGATAATACTTTATTATATTATATTCTATACTACACTATATTATCGTACATTGTATAATGTATTATACATAGTATATATAATACAGTATAGTATTATCGTAATATCTTTAATGTATGCTATCATCATTTATAAAAAACCTAATGACACAATACGCCGAATTGATTGGCGTAAAAAAAGTCACACTGGATGTATCATACACATAAAAAAAATAGAATTCATGTCTGAAACTTTTCCTTCGGAAACTTTGATATTAACTTCAGAAATCTAATATAAAATTATTCACTACAATTGACATACATTAAGGCCCATGACGGAGGGCATACGCGCGCGGTGCGCGCGGTCTAATCTAGTTAAATTTAAAAAATTCATCACAATATTCCCCTCAACTAATGAATATTGCGCCCAATTCAAGAACCAATTTTGTTGTTCATCTCCATGTTCATAAATTTTCAATTAAGGATCAATCGAAAATTTGGAGGAATAATAGAACATCGTTCGTTAATTTGTCATAGATGCGACCTTTCGCTGAATATTTTAGCTTCTTCCGGCTCTGGAAGGAAATGACAAACCGAATAATTTTTTAAATTTGACATCTATGACAAATTAACGAACGTTGTTATATTATTTCTCCAAATTTTTTCTTGATCCCTAATTGACAATTCAAGAACATTACTTCCAATGAGATAAAAAATGATTTTCCAATCTTAAATCATCGTCAAGTTTTCAAAGAAGAAAAATTGTTCTTCACGAAGAGAAATATTCTTCACGCAAAGGCCAATATTCTCAATTTGAGGATGATAATCTCTCTCTGTGTGCTCGTGGAAAAGCTCAGGTTTCTCTCCCCCAACCTATTTTGTTCTGTTGGGTGCTTGCTGGACAACCCATATTCTCCTTCTGTGTAAATCAACAAAATTTGTTGTGCCGTTCTGTGCTGTTTGTCGTTGTACTGAATCCACTACCTCTCATAATTCAAAAACTCAAACAATGTACGTTGAAACAATATTCAAAACACACTTTCTCAACCCTCGATACTCTGTTTCTCCAACATATTAGTCTACAACTTCTATCACATCTCAAAGTTCGATGTTGCCATTCTCCTCGAGTCTGGTCTTACCTCGCACGACTTCATCTACTGTTTCTACTTCTGAAACTCAGGTGAATAAGGAACAAAACTTTGAATGAAAAAAAATCAAATGAAATCGATGAGAAACGAAAGCGGGGGAGTCTGTCGTCATGAGACAGATCCTACTGCTGTATTCTGTTCTATTCGCCAGTCTAAAATCACTAAAATCAGCAACACACCGGTAAAAACGAGGTACAGACCCGCACCCACGTTCAAACGAGTCAGCAAGATGGCAGCGGCCGGTTACAGTTTAACAACAATAACAATAAAGCTGCTTGTGTAAGCGAAAAAAGTTTAAGTTGGTAAGAAGCCTCGATAAATCGTCCACTCATAGCTAACTCGCTGCACTCTGGGGTAAATGCATGCTTGATCATCTATCTGATGTGAAACACATTCTCTCTCAATTCATTCTCTTGAAATTGATCGTGATCGTGGGATGAGATGACTCGAATTTCGCTGACAAATTATTTTGGGAATATCTTGGAAACTGAGGGGTTCAGCAGAATTCATCACAATACATTTTTGTGGAGAGGCTCAAGAGCTGCTAAAGAGTTTCTTCATCGATTCTCTTGAACCGCTTAATTCTCGAGGTATTCACATAGTTTTAAAAACGTCAAGTGTGGAAGTCGACTGTTATCACTTGGAGAGATTCAAGCGGATTCTTTGGAATTACATTTATTCGAAAAGCAAAATGCATTTGGGGTTTTACGAAAGACGTAAAATCATAATTGTCAAGTGTTCACGCATGCAAAAAATTAACAGAAAACCTAGGGAATTAGCTAGAAAATTCTATTGGAATTCTGGAATTCTGGAATGCTACTGCATATTTGTAAGGAAAAAATATTTTTCAAATTTCTGTCCGAATTTTTCTCTTGAGACTTTTTCTAATAGAATTATGGATTTGGTTTTGTTTTGCATTACAGAATCCGAATGGAAAAAACTTATAAAATTGATATCCAAGCATTCTTATAGGGAAAATCCGAATAGAAAAATTCAAACAGAAATTCGAAATCTATTGACTTTTTCTTATCGAATATCCAATAGAATCAGCGCAAAAAAATAGGATTTCTCAATAGAATTCCAATAGAATTTTCTAGCGAATTCGCTAGGTTTCCAATCGAATTTTTTCATACGTCTGATTTCTGAAACTTCGTAGTATTTAACGAAAAATATACCGTGAAGAATATCCTAAGCGACAGTTAACAGAGAATTTGAAGCTCCTGTCAATGCATTCTTAAATTTTCTATCAAAGACGTCAATTCTCGCGAGCCCTCTTCAATTAAAAAAATGAATTCTCGATAAATTAATTCGTTTCTCAACAACAGAAATTACCGCAGACCCGCTCGTATCTCTCACACGTCACGATACTTGATATTCCCAGCACGTGATATACATGTTATCCTCGATGTCACCGGGGTGGGGTGTGCATTGAGAGCCGTTACAGAACCGGAAGACATAGCTTACCTGAGTCACTCTTGCAACAGCTGAAAAATAACAAAAAGTGATGTGAGAGAAAATGATAAAATGTGCGTGGGCGCAGCCGCATGACTGCGAAATGATGTTGGGGTTTGGTATATTTCAATTTTCTTTCTCTCTCTCTCTCTCTTTTATCTGTGCGGCACGCGCGTGCATACTGTATGCGGCACACCGCGCCTTTCTCGCATTACACTGACAGATCACTTTCTCCTCGGGCAGGTTCGCGACGTCCGAGTCTGGCGTCGATACACAGTTCGACTTCATCGGCGAGGAGTTACAGCGCCAGGAGGCTCGAGAAGGAGAGGAATGACAAGGAGCAGAGGCTGGCGCTGCAGGAATTGAGATTAGCTAGACAGAGGGAGCAGGAGGCGCAGATGCAACAGTTGCAGACGCAACCGACGCCCAGTCCAAGGACACCTCACTCGACGGATGAATTATTGCCGGCGGTTGAGGAGAGTAGAGAGGTAGTTTGATGGTGGAATTGAATGACTATTGTGTAACGAATTATGAACGTCGGGATTGAATTGATGAATCGAGAAAAACTGACTTCAGACTGAAATTTCGCATTTTGGCTCCTAGTTGAAAAAGAAAAGTTTTATTTCGACATTTCTGGCGCCTCCGAGGGTTTCATTGGCATTAGAGGGGCCAATAAATACAGAATCAAAATTCACTAGGCGGAAAAATTCGATTTTGGCAAAAGTCGACTTTCCCCCGGGAAAAATCCAAGATCTGACACTTTGGCCCCCGGTGAAAAAATTTTTTTTTCAGTTTTGACTTTTCCCACATACTTTTGAGAGTTCTGAATAGCTCGTCGCTTAAATAGTTAGAATCAACGTTCACCCGGCTAAAAAAATCGATTTTGGCGAAAGTCGACTTTCCCCCTGGAAAAACCGAAAATCTGACCCTTTGGCTCCGGGTGAAAAAATTTTTTTTTCAGTTTTCACTTTTTCCACATACTTTTGAGAGTTCTGAATAGCCCGTCGCTTAAATAGTTGGAATCAACGTTTACCCGGCTAAAAAATTCGATTTTGCCGAAAGTCGACTTTCCCCTTGAAAAAATCCAAGAAATGACACTTTGGCCCCAGGTGAAATTTTTTTTTTATTTCGACATTTCTCGCGTCTCCGAGGGTTTCATTGACTAGGCCTGAATTGAGCCTCGCGAATGGGCCCTTCAATTACCCTCATTTTAGGTTGGAGTAGACGATGAAATCAAGCCTGTCCCAGGCCTGAGTCATTGAGCGTCGCCAAATCTAGGCTCGTTCAGACTTGTTTCCATCGTCAGCCTATATAATTCCTACCTGGGAAGTTTTTCCACTCGAAATTGCAGTGAAGCTAGTAATCTTTGTCTTCTCAATTCGGATATCCATTTTACTCCGCTACAGTTTGACAGTTTCAGTCTCCATTTTAATACCAAAAAAATTTTTTCAAGGAGATATTGACGGTGGTCGCATCAGAAATGCCGTCAGTATCACGAATAATACCTCAAAAATCATCAGCGAATAATCACAGATCATCGATCCCCGTGTCCCTAGCGTCGACATCATTGACAGTGCACCGTTCGATGAATGCAACTGAGACGGCCTTCACAGCTCCCGCGTGCACATCCGCCTTAAAAAATAATACATCCGCCAATTGTTCCAGTGTAGTGGACATATTCGAGTCATAACCCACGAGTGTAATTCACGCTGGCCCGCAACGTCTTACAATTAGACCGACCATCGCTCAACAAGTGCAATCAGTCCCGTTTTACTCGGAGAAAATACCTATTTCACGCAGAATATCAAGTTGACCACTAAAATTGCAGCCCAGGTGTACAACTGCATCATCCTGATGATTTACTATTGACTAAAGCGCATTGTGTTTGACATACATCAATATAGAAACAACTGTTTGTACAAAACCACAAAAAATCGGGGGATAATAAATTCATTTCCAAGTCGCATCAATCTACTAATGGGCTTTAAACTATTGATTTTCCAACATATCCATTTACGAAGATCCAACGTGTCTCGTGCAGAATTATTTATAAATTGATTAGTCACGTGTTACTATAAAATTTTAAAAATATGATGTCGAGTTTAAATGGGATGTTGCACTGAATATCAATATGAAATGTGATCCTCAAAATTTAATTCGACAAAATGCGTAAAATAGAAAAAAAATAGCTCTTCAGCTCATTGATTTTCCGAGAAATAGTTTCATGTTCAAATTTCACTGCTTGACGAATGGAAAATCTTAGTCTATATAATTTGAGATTTTCGTCTCTAGAAAAGTCCAGAATGGTACAGAATCCTCTAGAAAATTCGCGAATGGTCTGGGAACTTCGATTTTCCGATCCAGAATATTCCAGAAGACTCTGGAAGGTTCTAAAAAGTGATGGAAAAACTCCAGATCCACACAATATTTTAGAATATTCTAGAATTTTCTAGTATTTATTGTCCACATGTCGACTTCAATGAAAAAAATTAAAATGAACCGCCATAAGGAAAAATCTTAAGAGAAAAATTCAAACAGAAATTCGAAATCCATTGACTTTTCCTTATCGAATGTCCTATAAAACCAGCGCAAAAAACAAAATTTTTCAATAGAATTCCCATAGAAATCCTGTAGAAACCCCGTAGAATTCTTATAGAACTCCAATAGAATTTTCTAGCGAATTCGCTAGATTTTCTATCGAATTTTTTCGTACGCGTATATCAAAAAAAAAATTGGCACCACACATGACAAAATTTCATAGAAGAACCTAGCGAATCCGCAGAAAATTCTATGCTCAGCGTGTGGTTCTCTGCGTGTTGTTTAATAAAAAATGATCGATAGGAACCCCTTGGCATAATTTTTATCATTTTTTCACTCAGTTTCCTGGTCTCGCAGTAAACAAATCAAACAAAAAAACAGAAAATTCGGGCTGAAGAATTTCTATACCATATATCTCAATAAAATAAGTTCTGTAGAAAAGACAGATTCTATTCCGTGTTTCTACGAAATATTTTCTGACGAACATCTCTACTAGGCAAAAAACGCGCAGAAGACTATGAAATTTTTCACTAGAATCGGCGTTCACATTCATTCGAATATAAAAAACAATTCAATACGATCTAAATCAAAATGTTAAAAGCCAGTCGATAACTTTGATGATCTCACTCCACCCTAATATTCAGTGGAATGACCCAAATACTTGTTAAAACGATTGAAATATTATTTATATGAATATTTTACCAAAAACTGTAATTGATAAAATATTACCTTGATATGTACAACATTTACTGTAGCTAGGGAGCTTTTTTGACGGTATGTGAATGAAATTACCGACGATACCAAACTCATTCCCCCGAATAATTTTCAATTCCAGCCCTTCGAGGCTGGAAACCCCAATGAATTGAGTGTACGATGTAATATTAACAATTATATATTGGCTTTCCTAATTGTAATCAGTAATGTAGGCTGGCCGCCTTAATCCAGACAAACGATATTAGTTAAGTATAAAATTGACGATAAAAGTATAGAGGATGTTATTTGTATTGAGTATATGATGTAATCCTGGAGATAATAAGAATTCACATGATACGATACAATGAAATTGTCGAGATGAATGATTATTCATTTTGTACGTGAATTGATGAAAACCCTGGGAATATCCGTTACAAAAAACTGCCGGAGGAATTTTAACGAGAACCAGAAACATTGAATCTAGTGTTAGTGCATTATTGTATTAATTTCGATAAAAGTGTTGAAATAATCACAACAAAATCTCAATTTATTACGAATAACATTGGCTGATGGGCATGTGTTGACGTGCAAATTAAGGAAATTACTTCGAGCTTTTAAGATCTTTCAACGCGATAGAATATGTTTGCTTATTGCCCGTCACGCAATCGTAAATTGTTCATCGGCTTTCCCTGTGTTTCTCTCTACCTCGGGATTTTTTCAGAAGAATTAGCGAATTAAATTGACTCGTTTAGTTGAGATTCAGATGCAACAATTAAAACCCCGTTTGTATTTCCAGTCAGTTGAATTCACTTTTAGTGCATGATGCATATTAAATCATGGAGTATACGCCGTGAAATTATACCGCGCATGTCGTGATAGTTTTTGACACAAACGCCTTCATTATCACGCTTGAGATGCTATCAAAGGAAATGCTGAGTACTAGCAATTAATTTAGGTGTTTTTTTAATGAGGAAAATATGAATTTGAGGGGTCACGTAGCCGCATTCATCTAGTATTTTTTGTTTGAGAGGCAGGTGTAGTTCGGTTGAAAACTTGAAATTGAAATTTTCGCCGAGAGCGATTTGCATTTTCATTATTTATTAATTAATCAGCATGACGTCGATCGAGGATTTGGTGTCAGTGGAGTTCGAAACTGGGGATAAACCGGAATCATTCGAGAAAGTGATTCGTCCCTCGACATTTTTCTCCTGGATTTTGGGTGTTGGCATTGCGAGACCTCTGAAATCATGGAAAATCGCAACGTTTTTTCTGCGTTTCGTTAATTTTGCGATATGCTCGTCAATCGTGGCGTACGGTGCCATCGACTTCTTCTTCTTCGGTAGTGTATTCAAGAGTGACACTTTCAAGATAATGTACTACATGAACAAAGTAGCTTGTTACATATCCTCGTACTATTACGTATTCCACGGTCTTGTGCAATACAAAAAGTGGCCAATTTTGATGGAGAGAATCGCAGCTATCGACAAAAAAATGAGGCATTGTGGACTGGAGTGCAACAATAGATCCATCAGATGTTTTCAGATTTTCACACTGATTATGACGTGTCTCCTCGGCCCCATCTCCCTCGTTTCCCATGCACTCTATTACCTGTACACTCAGCCGGAAGAGATTTTTGCTTCCGATCTGCTGTTGTATCATACTATCAGCCAGTCTCTCTGCATAAATTTTGAGTTCGATTTGATTGTCATGGGAATTTATGCGAGATTCAGGGAGATTAATCGGGGGATTCGGCGCAGTGGCGAACAGATCACTGCCGGCAGGATCATTATGGAGATTCGGAAAGCGCGAGAGGTTCATCATGGTAAAGACCCTCACGGAAAATATATATATGCGAATAATTATTTATGGGATGTATGCTCGATATATTTTTAATATATTTTTGGCTAAAAATGCTGTATGTAAAATATATGTTGAATATATTCGTGCACGTATATGCGCATGTAATTGATATATATGTCGCATATATTTGTTTTCCGTGCGCGGAGATCGTTTTATCAATTGGTGGAACGCAATTTTGATTGAGAAGCATTTGGGAGAGAGATATTGAGAAGGTATCAGTGGTTTTTAAAGCTTCGAAGTTTTCTCGCACAATTTAATTAGAAAAGTTGAGCCAATTTTTTTAAACATTTTTCGCGCGCAAGATTTGTAACACGGGGGGACCAACATTTGTGACACTCTAAAATCTCACGGTTGCATTTCGCGTGCTAAATGGAAAAAGATTGTGACCATTTCGAAATTTTTAGTTCAACGAAGTAGAAAAAGATCGTATAAACCTAATCTAGAGAACATGAAATCTGCACGATTTGGGCTCTCTAGAATCATTTTAATCCAACTTTTGAGGAAGAAAATTTGTTCGGCGCATGCGACCTTTGTCCACAAATTTTTGTCCAATAGAAATTAGAAATTAAGAGAAAACAGTGAAAAGATTTTTTTCTCATTTTTCCACGGTAGTGATATTTTTTTAGGGAGAGGGGGCATTTTGTTCATGAAATCGCGTCCGGGGGAGGGGAAATTTCCCAGAATCTTTCAAATACCCAACATAGAGAAGTAATTTATTAACGTACAAATTGGGAAATCACATTTTAGGCGAATGTGATGTTTACAGTTAAAAATTCTGCGTTAAAATGCAGAACTACACGATCAGAGGGAATGAGTTCTCTGAAATTAAGTTCCACTTGAAAACTATTCATTTTCCCTCCCAAGATTGCAAGTATTTTAATTAAGCAGATGCTCAATCATATCATTGTCTGTTTGCAATGCAGAACCCAGAAGCATTTAAACACACCCCTCAAGCATTCTATTAAATAATAAATTGCAGCTCTTTGTGCTCTTGTGAGATACATCAACAGCATCCACGGCATGCATCTTCTCCTGAGCTCTCTCAATTCATTCACAATGGTCGTAGCAACACTTTTCCGAATATATATGGGTGTTGTCGAGGGAATAGACAAATTTATGATGATAAACAACGTCATCTGGTTGACTTACACAGCGCAATTTGCATTGACTTGCTTTATCTGCACTTGGGCGCGCAGAGAGTCATCAAGAACAGGGATTATAATCCACGACATTGTTCTGAGGTGACAGTAAATTTTTTACGATTTCTAGCTGTATAAATCACTATTTAAAAGTACATGGAACAAGCATATGGTACGCCGTACACCTGCAAAATAGAATAAAACTCAATAGAAAATCCAGCTCACACTGTTGAAAAAAATTGAAATTTCATGGACAGTCAATCAGTAATGTTTAGGAGAGTGACTACCATTCAAAACGATTTAGGGGGAAAAATCATGAAATTTCAGGTTTCTCTGAAAATTCAGCGAAATTCCAAATTTTTGAACAGCATTGGGATGAGAATTCCACAATCCATTTGAATTTGAATGAAATCATGAATATTTAGTGCCAAATTACTATCAATTAATTCAACAAAATAACCAATTGAATGCCACTGTTTTTCGCTAATTTTGACGTAAATTTCTGAAATCTCAGCAAATAAAATAAAACATTAGAAAATAACGCACGTGACTTTAAAGATTTGCCAATGTTGATTGCGAATCTGCCTGAAAAATTTCTCGAGCACACCGATTCCGAGGAAAAAAATGTTGAAGGTTAAAAAATTATCCAAAAATTAATGGATATAATGAGTCAGGGGAAAAACTTGAAAAAAATCAATGTAAATGTAGATGTAAACTTATTTGTAAAATTTATTCTATTGTAATTTATTTTATAAAAATTCTTAGCCATGATATTTTTTCTTGGATTTCACAATAGGAAAAAAAATACAGCAGGAAAAGTTAGCAAAATTTATGCTCAAGAATTCCTGTAGAAAAAAACTCAAGACAATGAGCGATACGAAAAAATAAAAATTTATCAACTTTTTTCTATGAAATATCAGTGAAAAAATCTCGAATTGTCATATGTTTTTTTTTGTATGAGACTTTCATGAAGTGAATTGACCCCAGGAGGCTACCCAAAGGGCCAAGACCCTGCGACCTATACTCAATCGACATTACCAGAGCCCCTGAAGACCCAGAGCTCAGCCTCCGCAATGAAATCAATGATTTCTCAGCACAACTGGACCACAGCATCATCGCATTCACTGCATGCGAATTTTTCATCATGGACAATAATCTCTTGACTAACGTAAACATTTTTTACACAATTATTTATATTTATTTACACATTTCAATGAAGACCAAATGATTTATGTTCATGTACTTGATATTTTCAGTTTGTTGGAGTTATCACAACTTATTTGATCATTCTGGTGCAGTTTTACGCGCCTGAGGGCGTCTGTGGTGGAATGAGCACGACACCCTCGGTGGAGTTGTAGATGAAGGATGTTTCTTTGGCAAAGTTTGATGCACACGTTCACAAAAAATATTTGTCAATTAAAAAATTCAATCACTCTAGTAATGTGCGTTCTCATTGAGCATAAAGATTTCTGTCACCCACGAACAAATTTCATAGAAAAATATAACGAATTCGCTAAAAAATTCTGTTGGATTTCTGTTGAACTTTTATTGAAAATTTTATTAGTTTTGCGAAGAAAATGCTCAATAGAAACTATTTTATTAAAAAGAAACAGTAAAATTTTATCTTTCTCTGCAACTTTCTCTATTTAGCAATTTTCTAAACAAATTTCTCAACATCAATTTTCCTAGTTTTTTTTATACCATTTTTAAATGAAAACAGAAACTCTTTTCATAAGAAATCAAATAAAGAACACTAGAATAAGTTGTTTAAAAAATAGGAATCTATTGATTCTTTCTATAGAATAGTTAACATTAAACGTTTTGATTGAAAAAAAAACGCACAGATGAGGTGCGAAAATGTTCAATAAAATTGTTCAAGAACTAGCAATAGAATCCAATAGAATTTTCTAGCGAATTTACTAGGTTTTCCTACGGAATTTTATCGTGCCTGGTCATTCTCTCCTGGGAATTAATGAGGAAGCTACGCATTAGCAAAGTAGCTCTGGTAGAACATTCCCATAGCGTTCGTCGCGAAAATAGTGAAACAACTCCACCACGTCGCCAGCCCGAGGAGTCCCCTGAACACTTCCGTTGTGAATATTTTACGGAGGGAGCTCAATGCCAAGTGCAGTTCCTCAACGGTTTGGGTGACTGTTTTCTCAGTGTCTGAGAGGTCTAGTGGGGGCTGGGGTGATTGGTCGTTTATTGAGCATTCCTCTGGGGGGCTGTCAGTCAACACTGCGTTCCAGGTATAGCCACCGAGGGTTTTGTACATCAGAGAGAAGAATAAACACATCATTAGGGGGGCTAGGAATTGGAGAGTCACCACACACAGGTAGTAGAACACTGCAGCTATCTGGAAGGAAAATAATTGGAGATGGCGGTTAGATTTTGAGGGTGAGATGTGACATTTTGATTTTGATTTCTGGTAAGAATGGAGTTATCTTCGTATTGAGTCAGTCTGAGAAAAAAAATGCTAAGAGAGAAGTTTGTTCAGCTGGAAAAAAATTAAAATAAATACAGGGATGGAATTTTAATAAATTTCATTCTGCTTTAGACATTTTTTAGAAAATCCATCCCTCTAGAGACTAATGTTTAATAGCCATCTAAACTAAAAATGTAATGTGGAAAAAAACGTCATTTATTAACAATATTTGAAATTTGAAAGAGTGTCTGATGATTCTAGATAGAATTTTCTAGAAATCGAAATACTCATTTCTATATTCAAGGAAATTTATAATATTCTTTGTTTCAATACAAAATTTTTCTTCAAATTAATGACTCATTTTCTAAATAGTTATCATCTTAGAAAATGTTCAGTAAAATTATTCCCCCCTCAGCATTTTATCATAATCCTTTGAAAAAAAATCAAGAGACCATTTTTGTAAAAAATTTCCTCAGCTACAAGAAAACCCTTTGAATTTTTTTGAATGAACAAAATTCTTATAAGAAATGAAATGAGAGTTAATGAGTGTTGAACAAAATTTCCTAATGTACCTTTTTCTGCAACTCAACATTTGTTATTCTACCAGCTTCTTTCTTCTGATTCTCTAATCTCTGTTCAGCGAGATTGAGATACGACTGTAGGTACAATGGCATCAGTGATATTCTGAGAACAACTACTAGGATAATTGCAATGAGTCTCGCACTGTCAAAAGCTTCCGACGTCATCCTGGAAGAATCGAACCATCAATCAATGAATTCAACTAAACCCTTGGCCAATACACAAATGAAAAATCTGCGATTTCAGTTGAAAAACAGGTCTTACAGTGGCTTATCCATTCCCGAGAATATTCTCACACTGAAGTAATCCCTGCTAATTGGTTTAATCCACAAACAAACCAGGAACAGGGGCGAGACGAAGCTAATATTCGCTAGTAATTTCAGAATTTTCCTGTCCTTATAATACCTGAAGCAAAAACCCATGAGTTGATCCGTGAAAACTAGTAACAAGGCCATTAATGAAGTGATAATTACTTCATGGTGTCCCAGTGCATCTTGGACATTCTCAGGCCAGGAAAGGTGAAGAGAGATCCAAGCAATCCACACCAGATGGCTAGGAAGAATTTTAAAACTATTTGGGAGGCTGGTCCGGCCGATGAGAGCCCTTGATTTCCCAGGAAAATAGAGGCACTGTGGTTGAAACTGACGTACGCCTTGTCCAGACCAATTTCTAGTTTATTCTCGTCGACAATCAGAATCATCATGGCTATAAGGAGGTAGACAAATCCTGTGACTATGCAGGTGGATCTCTCACCTACACTCTCGTCACCTTTGAAATACTGGATCCATAATGTTAGTAACATCTTGCTAGACTCTTAATTAAGGAAATTCTGTGTTTGATTTCGATTGCTATAAATAAAGAAGTCAATCCCAACGTGTACTCCAATTGGCATTCAATTTTACATAACCCCGGAGTCTCCAAAAATTATAAGTGGCCAATCGAAACAACGCTGAAGACAACTGAATATTTTCAGAGTTTTTTAATAATATTGGAAAATAAGCCAATAGGGAGGAAATTGCGAATTAATAATTTACTGTAGGGGAGGTTGGGGTAAAATGGACACTTTTGACTTTTTTAAAAATATTAATGACGGGTTGAAATGTTGATGAAATTCAATCTTTTTTTTTTCAATATAGAGAACAATTCTTTCCCTTTGTGATGAGCCTAAACTGAGCTCTATTGATACCTTTGTCTCTGAGTTATGAATAATTTTAAAAAAGTCGAAAGTGTCCATTTTACCCTACCCTCCCCTATGTCATGACTGTTAGGTCGGCATTTGTCACAGTGAATATTTTCTCTAGATTATAATTACCGTAACAAATTGGTGTTAAAAAAATTCAACTATCTCTCTTGGATTTGAAGATATTTTTTAAAAATTAAGTCGAAGCATGATTGATTACTTTCGTTTTGCCCCTTCAGTGCTGAATTTAATTTCTAATTTGTCTAATGCGTATTATTGGTCTCCAAAAGGATACAATGCGAATCCAATAACTAGTGAACACCACACCATGCTGAGATTGATCTCATCAGTAATTGGATAGAAATAATTATAAACCTGCAACACAAAGAAGGACATAACGACTCAGTCTTCAAAATAAAATTAAAAATATGAAGTGGTTTACCTCAGTCAACGTATAAGTAATAGCAGCGTACACCGAAAAATCCAATAACCACTGAAACTCAGAATAATACTTCAAGTGCACTACATCGAGTTGTGACACTTTGGCAGTCTCGAGTGTGAGATCGAGATTGCGAGGAATGTGAAATGTCTCAGGTGTTTTACCATTCTCCATGTGTCTTCCCTTCCTGGGCTTTTCTTTGGGGATGCCAGCTAGGCTTTTCAGCTGCTGATCTGTTGGATACAAAAACCTCGAGAGCCTAAAATGAGAAGAAAGTGATGATAATTCAATCCTCACAATTTAATTATAACAGGAAGAGAGATAAAATGATTCTTTTGTGATCGCGAATAACCCGAGAGAGTGAAATTTTGTTATTTTTATTTTAACGGTATTTTTTAAGCTTTAAAATCAGTGGCGAAGGGGCGATTTAGACCTCAGCCGAGTTTTTGAGGAATATCTCCCAATTTAAGGGAAGAAATTTTTGTAATTACCTTATTTGTAGTCCTCAATTTAATCTACAAAAAAGGTTTTAACAAAAAATTTTCTATCTCCCTTAGATTCCGAGATATTCATTGAAAACTGGTCAGTAGTTAAAATCGACTTGAGTCGTTCTACCCCTTCGCTACTGAAATGAACCAGAGTCCATTCAAATCGTTCAATTGGTCGTGAGATATTGATCATCAAGATCAAGAAGATTCATTTAACCCCTCTCACCCCAATTTGAAATTTTTATGCCTTACCCTGTAGAACATAATATCCACCGTCCAAACGAAAAATGTGGACTCAATTTCTGTATGAGGCTCACCATCACTAATGTGATGACTAGTTGAGCCCCCAGAAGGGCCTGGAAATAACAAAAAAAAACTAAAAATTGATGTCCTCTAACTTAAAAAAATTGTAAACAATTAAATTACTCGTTTCAGACGAATCCTAAAATTTTTTAATTCATGAATTTTGAGAATTCAACTCAGTCAATCATTACTCACCATTGTATTCAGCAGGTTCAAAGCACTTTCAATAACCAAAATGGAACGACTATTCTATTTAGAAACCTCGGTGTTGAACAAACCCACTGGTGGGGACTAGATTTTGTCAAATATTCCCCACGTATACATGAAGATATGAATAGATTTGGAGCTAAACTGCCTGACGTTTTCCCTACCACCAGGGTTATCCTAACCTAAATTCACTTATACCTCGGGAGCACTAAACCCCAGCCCGTCAGATTCACGTAAAAACGAAGTTCATCATTTCTCTGGAATATTTTGAAAGTGGTAAAAAAATAAATGAACAAAAACGGGTAAAACGAGTCAATTTTCACTTTTACGTTCTGCTTTCCGGAGCGGACGTACACATTATGCACAGAATTTTTCAGGCTTCATTTCCATTGGCGATGAAACCCAGAAATAGAACGAAAATTAAAATTTTTAATAATCAATAGTCTCAATTCCTTAATTAAACATAAAAAACGAACTCAACTTAATTTTTTATTCCTAAAAATGGGAGTTATTTTCTTCGCTAATTACCTTCACGAGCGGGAGATTCAAAATGACCCGGAGGCATTGTGGAAACGCTTCAGAGATGTCTCTCCCCATTCAAAAAAAAGTGAGATGAATGATCGGGATTCAATCGAGGGAGATCCGATCAATTAGCCCCTCAAGTATAGATATTCCGAATTTTTATTTTTTTCCTCATTGAAGGAGTTTTGAAGAAAATTGCGGGCTAATAAAAAACATTTGATAATTAGTACTTTTTTTAAAATAAATTTTTGGAAAAACACCTCTGAAAAAAAAGGCGTTATCCCCTCTATTTCATTATTTCCAAAATTTTTTATCACCAATCGATAGCAAATTGTTTGAATATTTTTGCGAGTTAAGGAAAAATCGTCAATGCAATCCTATTATTGTGTAAATTAACAATTCCAATTACAACTGAAAACCAGAGTTGATGACAAGAGCTTGTAACAAAGATGTTAGACAAGATATGAGTATTTTTTTTTGGCTCAAATGAAAGAGCGGCTCGAAAAATGGCGTGCAGAAGTCTTTAAAGATGACAAATGTCTCTAAAGATGATGTCTGTTTTCAATTGAAAAGCGCGATTGTGACAACATTGTCCAGTGGGGTCTAGGAGTCTCCCCTGGTTCAAAACCATCTTTAGAGGTCCTAGCACGCCATTTCTCGACCCGCTCTTTCTTTGAGCCCAAAAAAACATTCATATCTTGTCTGACATCGCTGCTACAAACTCAGGTCTACAACTCGGGTCTTCAATTGAGAGCCCGAGTTAAAGACCCGAGTTTGTAGAAAAGATGTCAGGCAAGATGTGAATGTTTTTTTGGGCTCAAACGAAAGAGCGGACCGAGAAATGGCGTGCTAGAGGCTCTAAAGATGGTTTTGAACCAGGGGAGACTCCTAGACCGCACTGGTCAATGTTGTCACAATTGCGCTTTTCAATTGAAAACAGACATCATCATTAGAGAGATTTGTCATCGTTAAAGACTTCTGTACGCCATTTCACGAACCGCTCTTCCATTTGAGCCAAAAAAAACATTCATATGTTGTCTGACATCTCTGCTACAAACTCTGGTCATCAACTCTAGTTTTCAGTTGAAATTGGAATTGTTAATTTACACAATAATAGGAGTACATAGACGATTTTTTCTTAACTCGCAAAAATCTTCAAACAATTTGCTACCGATTGGTGATAAATTTTTTTGGGAATAATGAAATAGGGGGGATAACGCCTTTTTTGCAGGGGTGAATATTCAAAAATTTATTTTAAAAAAAGTACTAACTAGCAAATGTTTTTTATTAGCTCGCAATTTTCTTCAAAACTACTTTAATGAAGAAAAAAATAAAAATTTGGAATATCTATACATGAGGGGCTAATTGATCGGATCTCATAGTTTCCGAGATAATCGCGAAAAACGAAAGTCCCAAAAAAAATTAATTTAATTCATCTGGTATAGAGTGTAGGAAGTGGAAAAACGCAATTCTGAGCCGTCCATCTGCCTATACGGAACCCAAATTTCCTCAGGAATCGAATGCAATAGGTTTTAAGGCTCTATCTCTCATAGTTTCCGAGATAATCGCGAAAAACGAAAGTCCCAAAAAAAATTAATTTAATTCATCTTGTATAGGGTCTAGGAAGTGGAAAAACGCAATTCTGAGCCGTCCATCTGCCTATACGGAACCCAAATTTCCTCAGGAATCGAATGGAATAGGTTTTAAGGCTCTATCTCTCATAGTTTCCGAGATAATCGCGAAAAACGAAAGTGCCAAAAAAAATTAATTTAATTCATCTTGTATAGGGTGTAGGAAGTGGAAAAACGCAATTCTGAGCCGTCCATCTGCCTATACGGAACCCAAATTTCCTCAGGAATCGAATGGAATAGGTTTTAAGGCTCTATCTCTCATAGTTTCCGAGATAATCGCGAAAAACGAAAGTGCCAAAAAAAATTAATTTAATTCATCTTGTATAGGGTGTAGGACGTGGAAAAACGCAATTCTGAGCCGTCCATCTGCCTATACGGAACCCAAATTTCCTCAGGAATCGAATGGAATAGGTTTTAAGGCTCTATCTCTCATAGTTTCCGAGATAATCGCGAAAAACGAAAGTGCCAAAAAAAATTAATTTAATTCATCTTGTATAGGGTGTAGGAAGTGGAAAAACGCAATTCTGAGCCGTCCATCTGCCTATACGGAACCCAAATTTCCTCAGGAATCGAATGGAATAGGTTTTAAGGCTCTATCTCTCATAGTTTCCGAGATAATCGCGAAAAACGAAAGTGCCAAAAAAAATTAATTTAATTCATCTTGTATAGGGTGTAGGAAGTGGAAAAACGCAATTCTGAGCCGTCCATCTGCCTATACGGAACCCAAATTTCCTCAGGAATCGAATGGAATAGGTTTTAAGGCTCTATCTCTCATAGTTTCCGAGATAATCGCGAAAAACGAAAGTGCCAAAAAAAATTAATTTAATTCATCTTGTATAGGGTGTAGGAAGTGGAAAAACGCAATTCTGAGCCGTCCATCTGCCTATACGGAACCCAAATTTCCTCAGGAATCGAATGGAATAGGTTTTAAGGCTCTATCTCTCATAGTTTCCGAGATAATCGCGAAAAACGAAAGTGCCAAAAAAAATTAATTTAATTCATCTTGTATAGGGTGTAGGAAGTGGAAAAACGCAATTCTGAGCCGTCCATCTGCCTATACGGAACCCAAATTTCCTCAGGAATCGAATGGAATAGGTTTTAAGGCTCTATCTCTCATAGTTTCCGAGATAATCGCGAAAAACGAAAGTGCCAAAAAAAATTAATTTAATTCATCTTGTATAGGGTGTAGGAAGTGGAAAAACGCAATTCTGAGCCGTCCATCTGCCTATACGGAACCCAAATTTCCTCAGGAATCGAATGGAATAGGTTTTAAGGCTCTATCTCTCATAGTTTCCGAGATAATCGCGAAAAACGAAAGTGCCAAAAAAAATTAATTTAATTCATCTTGTATAGGGTGTAGGAAGTGGAAAAACGCAATTCTGAGCCGTCCATCTGCCTATACGGAACCCAAATTTCCTCAGGAATCGAATGGAATAGGTTTTAAGGCTCTATCTCTCATAGTTTCCGAGATAATCGCGAAAAACGAAAGTGCCAAAAAAAATTAATTTAATTCATCTTGTATAGGGTGTAGGAAGTGGAAAAACGCAATTCTGAGCCGTCCATCTGCCTATACGGAACCCAAATTTCCTCAGGAATCGAATGGAATAGGTTTTAAGGCTCTATCTCTCATAGTTTCCGAGATAATCGCGAAAAACGAAAGTGCCAAAAAAAATTAATTTAATTCATCTTGTATAGGGTGTAGGAAGTGGAAAAACGCAATTCTGAGCCGTCCATCGGCCTATACGGAACCCAAATTTCCTCACGAATCGAATGCAATTGGTTTTAAGGCTCTATCTCTCATAGGTTCCGAGATAAGCGCAAAAAACGAAAGTGCCAAAGAAAATTAATTTAATTCATCTGGTATAAGGTGTAGGAAGTGGAAAAACGCAATTCTGAGCCGTCCATCGGCCTATACGGAACCCAAATTTCCTCAGGAATCGAATGGAATAGGTTTTAAGGCTCTATCTCGCATAGTTTCTCGCATAGCTTGTGTAAGGCCTAGGAAGTGGAAAAACGCAATTCTGAGCCGTCCATCGGCCTATACGGAACCCAAATTTCCTCAGGAATCGAATGGAATAGGTTTTAAGGCTCTATCTCGCATAGTTTCTCGCATAGCTTGTGTAAGGCCTAGGAAGTGGAAAAACGCAATTCTGAGCCGTCCATCGGCCTATACGGAACCCAAATTTCCTCAGGAATCGAATGGAATAGGTTTTAAGGCTCTATCTCGCATAGTTTCTCGCATAGCTTGTGTAAGGCCTAGGAAGTGGAAAAACGCAACTCTGAGCCCTCCACTTGCCTATAGGGGACGCAAATTTGTTTTTAAGGCTCTATCTCTCATAGTTTAGATCCGATCAATTAGCCCCTCATGTATAGATATTCCAAATTTTTATTTTTTTCCTCATTGAAGTAGTTTTAAAGAAAATTGCGAGCTAATAAAAAACATTTGCTAGTTAGTACTTTGTTTTAAATAAATTTTTGGAAAATCACCTCTGATAAACAAGGCGTTCATATCTTGTCTGACATCTCTGCTACAAACTCTGGTCATCAACTCTGGTTTTCAGTTGAAATTGGAATTGTTAATTTACACAATAATAGGAGTGCATTGACGATTTTTTCTTAACTCGCAAAAATCTTCAAACAATTTGCTACCGATTGGTGATAAA